CGCTCGTGGATGAAGAAGATGGACGAACCGACTTCGATCCTTTCTCAGCTCCTATCGGAGAAACCATTGGATTCTGCGAACGCATGGAATCCTCCGAAGACTTTGACAAGGGCGGTGATGCCAAGCAAGCTCCTTCGAAGAAGAACAACAGCAAGAAGTACAAGTCTACTCGCAACAACGACCACTCTTCCAAGAACGAAGAAAAATGGTGCGACTACCACGAGTCCAGCACTCACAACACTGCTGACTGCATGACTCTGAAGAAGCTCAAGGCCAAGTCTCAGTCCTCGTCTGACAACGATAACAAGCCAGCGTACAACAAGAACAAGACTTGGAAACGCAAGTCCGACGACGCCAAGACCTACACCAAGAAGGAACTCTCTGTCCTCATGAAGAAAGTTTCCAACGCTGCGGTCAAGGCTGATCGCAAGAAGAAAAGCGAATGCAACCATGTTGCCAAGCGCAAGTCAGACGACTCCGACAACGAGGACGACTCCTCTGTTGGATCCATCAACATGATGGACAAGAAAATGGCTGCCGTTGACAAGGCGCTTGCCGAATTCGACTTCAATCATTCGGATGGAGAGATCTCCGTCTGAGGATTAGGCCAGGATGATGATTCAACGGAACCATGTTCCGATTTCTCATACCTAAGTGATGAAGATATCTCACTAAATAGTAAACAAGATTTGTTTGCAACTAATGAAGTCTACGGCAAATTAGATAATTGCCTAGCAACTACTCAACTAGACCCTGACGATCTGTTCAGCATCGTTAACTTCGTCCATGGCCAACCAACTCATCAACGTCGCAAGACAAGAGACCTCAAAACTATCGTCTATGTTAGATTTAACAGACGAGAGAAAGGGAAACAAAAACCCGTTACACTCTGTTGCTTACTGGATACAGGAGCATCCGGAACTTTAATTACTCAAACTCATGCTAAGAGTTTACTCATGAAGAATCATGGGGGCGTCCAAACATTACGGATTGCCTCTGTAAAAGAATTGAGACCCCGCACGAAGTGTAAGGGCACACTCATGATTCCCGAGTTCCGCGATAGTAGAATTATCGAATGGAATTTACGCGTCACCAAGAACTTGGGGGCGCATGACATGATCACAGGTCAAGACACTCTCTACGACCCAAGAATCAAGTTTGATTTCACTACCATGTCAATGGAGTGGAACAGCATATTTTTCCCTGCGAAAGATGGCAATACCGATGGAGAAGAGAACTTCTCCATTCCTGATCCTGCAGCCGTCAACGACAGTGCAGATAGTCTCAAGAAGATTCTTGATGCGAAATACGAACAAGCTGACTTAAGGCAGGTTTGCCAAAGTCAAGATCAGTTAAACAAGGAAGAGCAAGAACTGCCTCATGCCTTCTCAATCAAGTGCTCCGACCCAGTCGAAGGTACTTTGGGAGAGTTGCAAATGGACGACTACGAAGTAGTACTTCGTCCCGACGCTAAATCCTATTATACTAGGGCTCACCCTACTCCATGTGTCCATACCAACACTCTTAAGATGGAGGTTGAACGTCTCTGCGAGGCAGGAGTACTCAAGAAGGTGAATCGTTCCGAGTGGGCGGCACCAACCTTTATCATTCCCAAGCAAAATGGATCTGTACGATTCATCTCTGATCTCCGGGAACCCAACAGAAGGATAAAGCGGAAACCTTATCCTGTCCCAAAAACACAGGACATGCTCTTGAATCTAAATGGATTCAAGTACGCTACTAGTCTAGACCTGAACATGGGACACTATCACATCGAGCTGTCACCTCACTCGAAGCAACACTGTACCATCGTACTCCCGAGGGGAAAGCACGAGTACCAGAGGTTGCCAATGGGCCTATGTAATAGTCCCGACATCTTCCAAAGGAAGATGAAAACACGCATGCATGACTTAGGAAATGTCCGTGCATACATTGATGATCAACTCATCCTAACTGACGCCGATCTGGTGGATCACGTTGAATAGTTAGATGACTTTTTCCAAAGACTTCAAGAAGTCGGATTTAAAATCAACACTACCAAGGCCTTCCTCGAAAGGAAGAACTTGAGTATCTAGACAATTGGACTACTCGAGAAGGAATCCAACCTTTAACTAAAAAGATAATAGATGCGATCCAGCTATCGCTCTTCCTACCAACAGGAAGGAACTTCGTGGATTCATTGGACCAATGAACTACCAAGAGCTGCAAGACAGCAGACGGAGTAACCATCGTTCTGAAACAGACGGGGTCGAGAAGACTCTCCGGGACGAACATGGACTTCGTCGCAAGTTCACGCGCGTCAATCGTGACAAGATTCACCACATCCGTTTCGAAGCAAACCGGAAATACGTTAAGGAACGGATAGCGCAAAGCGACTTATCCAGAAAACACCGATAGGGAGAACACGACACGTGTCCCCATCAACACCATGTCAACGATACTATGATGATGATTCATCAGTATCAGAACCGTTGTACGGTCAGCAACGCACAAGGTCCTTACCACACAGACCGAGTCAATAACAATGGCACTGTACGGCTCCGACATACTACCGCAGGACAGTCTACCAGACTTGGACATAAGGTATTTAACCCATACAAGGCCTGATCCTTGTAGGATTGCCATCGTGCGACGACAATGTCTAATCCAATCTCCGGAGAGTGCCCCGCACTTTAATTCATATGTTCTCCTTGTCCGACTGATGTCGTGCCTTCCGTGACCCTTGTCAGGGGGCAATGCAATACACGGCTCTTAGCCTATTCGCGCTCGATCCTAGATAGGGTTTGATTCGACTCATGACTGAGTCTCTCGTGATAGATTGAGACAGGGTTCTCAATGACCGCTCTAGTCATACTAGGTTGATGATGAAACATCGCTCTAAATATTTAGCCAGCGTGGAGTACTTCCACGCTACTAGATAAATGCTAGACGAATCTTCCACGCGTTCCGTTTTTGGATCGTGGAGTGAGTAGGATTGCTACCGCAACCTACCTTATCACACTCTACAGTCTCCCGCGGAGTTCAGATCTCGATCCTTTGATTGTGGATTCCTCTCGTTGATTAGTTTTCATAGCTTTCTAATCCTCTCATAACTTTCATTCTCTCAAACTCAAAACATCGAAAGATCTTTACACTAGCTTTTAGCGTAGTGCAGACAGGAAGAACTTGAGTATCCAGACAATTGAATACTCGAGAAGGAATCAACCTTAACTAAAGATAATAGATGCGATCCACTATCTCTCTTCCTACCAACGGAAGAACTTCGTGGATTCATTGGACCAATGAACTACCAAGGGCTGCTCCAAGACAGCAGACGGAGTAACCATCGTTCTAAAACAGACGTGGGTTACCCAGTATCCATGACCGGTTGTCATGGACAGAGAACGTGAGTCCCGCGCAGAGGTCGAGAAGACTCTCCGGGATGAACGTGGACTTCGTCGCAAGTTCACGCGCGTCAATCGTGACAAGATTCACCACATCCGTTTCAAAGCAAACCGGAAATACATTAAGGAACGTCGCCAACGACTTATCCAGAAAAACACCGATAAGGAGAACACGACACGTGTCCCTCATCAACACCATGTCAACGATACTATGATGATTCATCAGTATCAGAACCGTTAGTACGGTCAGCCAAAGGTCCTTACCACACAGACCGAGTCAATAACAATGGCACTGTACGGCTCCGACATACATGTACTACCGCCAGTAGCGGCACAGTCTACCAGACTTGGAACATAAGGTATTTACACCCATACAAGGCCTGATCCCCTTGTAGGATTGCCATCGTGCGACGCACATGTCTACATCCAATCTCCGGAGAGTGCCCCGCACTTTAATTCATATGTTCTCCTTGTCCGACTGATGTCGTGCCTTCCGTGACCCTTGTCAGGGGGCGAATGCAATACACGGCTCCTAGCCTTATTCGCGACTCGATCCTAGATAGGGTTTGAGTTCGACTCATGACTGAGTCTCTCGTGAATAGTCATTGAGACAGGGTTCTCAATGACCGCTCTAGTCATACTAGGTTGATGATGAAACATCGCTCTAGATATTTAGCCAGCGTGGAGTACTTCCACGCTACTAGATAAATGCTAGACGAATTTTCCACGCGTTCCGTTTTTGGATCGTGGAGTGAGTAGGATTGCTACCGCAACCTACTCTATCACACTCTACAGTCTCCCGCGGGAGTTCAGATCTACGATCCTTTGATTGTGGATCTCTCTCGTTGATTAGTTTTCATAGCTTTCTAATCCTCTCATAACTTTCATTCTCTCAAACTCAAAACACTCGAAAGATCTTTACACTAGCTTTTAGCGTAGTGCAGAGGAAAAGCGCCATTGTGCCTCTTTCTTTTTTCGATCGATTCAAAAGTTTGTGGAGTGAGAGTGGCTCCACGCTGACAGGATACCTTCATTAGAGTTGAGGCTTATCCGTTACTGGCTAGAAATATTTAGCTATACAAATTACTAGAGTACGGCCTGCAGGCTCTATCGCGCTTATTAACACGAGGCAGCGGATCCCTTTGGTTTGATGGGCGTGTGTAGTCTAACTTGACTATTGTTGTTTTCATAAGACACAATCGAATACAGTAGTCTAGAGAAGGCACACGCCTGCACTTGCATGACTGCTTGAGCTGTACTTGTCAATTAATTGCTTACTTTTGGGCACATTCTGGGGCATGAGCGGTTAAATACAAAGTCACTTGTGCGGAAGCAATGTAGTACCGGACACAGCTGTTCTGGATCCAAAGACTTCCGAGGAAGACCAGTGAACAGTGAAGAGTGAAGTGAGTAAAGTGAAGTTGCCATCTCCTATGATAGCCCTTTTACAGTACACCAACACACCAACCCGCCCTTACTGGTATCTCATTTTTTCATTAAATTTTTCGGGGTGCTTGTTAGCTCGACAACAATAGAGCACCTCAATCGCGAGGCCACATTTTATTTTGGCTAGCACGCATTGAGAGGACTTTGCGTTTCGAAGCAATGAACAAGATAATGAGTAGTGTGGGCCATGACGACGAATTCATCACAGAAGGTCCCGACGACGAGAAGCATGAGCTGGGTGCGGACACCTCCACAGACAAGGAGCCGCCATTCATCACAGAAGGTTCCGACGACGAGAAGCCTGAGCTGGGTGCGGACACCTCCACAGACAAGGAGCCACCAAAGCCTGAGGAAGGAGCTGTCGAATCTACTACTTCCGCGCGACCAACTTCCGCCACTGCTGCAGCAACCAGACCTGATACGATTGAAGATGTGCGAGAAGAGATCCAGCCATTGCCACCTATCCGAGCGCCCCCGCAAACGGATGGGCCTGGGGCATACGCCATGGGCGGTCGGGCTCTTGGCGCCCGTGGTCTAGCTGGTCCAGTCCGAGCTCAAGAGCCCACAAGGCCTGACGAAGTCGCCGCGCCAGAAGATACCGGTGCGGGATTGGCGCAAGCAAGACCAGTGGAAGAAGATGAACAGCGTGATATCGAAGTTGCAACGCCTGTACAGGCAAGAGAACAGGCAAAAGATGCAAGCAAAGGCCTGCTCCTCATTCTGCTTCTATGCGTCCTCGTCGTGATTGTCGCTGCCGTTGTGGTGGTTCTCCGTTCGAGAGCCGATAGCGACGAACAAACGTCGCCCCGTCCAACTGCTTCGCCGTCTGTCCAACCAACAGAGATGCCCTCGTCGGACCAAGACAAACTATTGGCTTTACTACCAGACTACACTGTCACAGCTATCCAGCAGGGCTCTAACGCGCAGAGCCAGGCTTGGGACTGGATGCTGGAAGATCCTTCATTTGATCGCTACGATGACGAACGGCGTCTTCAGCGCTTTGGTTTGGCCGTTCTATACTTCAGCACAAAAGGACACGAGTGGATCACCCAGGACAGTTTCCTCAACTACACACTCCATGAATGTGAGTGGATGCTCGAATCCTTTGATCCAACACTGGCGGACCAGACTGTTACGAGGCTGTCCTGTGATCCAACAAACCAGTCTGCTACGAGGCTAGTTTTTAATACGAATGTAAGTGGCTACCTTGGTTTGCCCTCGAGCTGGCATTTGATCACCCATATATGATATATTTTCCATGGCTCTACTAGAATCTCGCTGGATATTTACCAAGAGAGCTTGCTCTGCTTACGTCGCTCCAAGAACTCATCATAATGAGGCATCCTGGCCTAGTCGGCACGTTGCCCACGGAGATTGCAAAAATGCGTGCATTGGAGTCCATAGCATTCCACAACAACAGGTTCACCGGTGCGAAACACACGTCGTCAAGCTTGAGTGCCGCGTTCCCTTTCCTGCACCACATATATATGCTCAACTTCCCTTCCATTGCCTTCAGGTATACTCCCGACAGAACTGCTTCTTCTCAACAACTTGAGGCGGCTTGCCTTGGAGGGCAATCTATTTGAAGGGACCATCCACACCGAATTCGGCTTGTTTTCGACCAACCTCTCTCATCTTACATTTGACACAAACCGTTTCTTCGGTACTATACCATCAGAGCTGGGGCTTCTCACGACCTTGACAAGGCTGCAACCTGTTCCCAATCAGTTTGACCCTGGCACAATCCCCACCGAGCTTGGTTGCCTCACAGAGATGCGTGGTAAGTGACATGGAGAATCAATGACGTCCCACCATTTTGAAGAATCTATATGAACTCACAAATAAAACGAAAGAGCTTCTTTTGTCCGGCCAGAACACAACAGGACCAATCCCCTCAGAGCTGGGAATGATGACCAATCTTTTTAGATTCTCAGCCAGCAAAACTCTCCTAACTGGACCCATCCCAACTACTATAGGGCAATGGACGAAGGTGCGCTCAGTCAACATTGACTTCAGTCCCTTGATAACAGGCCCCATTCCTTCCGAATTTGCGGGTTTATCTGAAGCTGTTGCCTTGTCACTGGGTTCCAATTCTTTGGTTGGAACAATCCCATCTGAACTTGGAAACTTCCCTAACATGAAAGTTCTCGATCTCAGTTCCAATGCCCTGGTTGGGCCAATCCCATCCGAGCTGGCAAGAGTCCCAATGAGGCTGGTTTCCCTTCAGAACAATCAGCTTACCGGGACGCTTCCTGCTGAGTTTGACCCAAGGAGTAGTGGTCCCCAAGGCGCATTGAACATTGTTGGAAACAATCTGACAGGCAGCATCCCGGAGGGGTTGTGCTTCTTGATGAGTCCATCTTGCAACTGGAGTTCACCATCCATGGAAGGCTCGTTTCCCTGTCACTTCAACTATGATTGTGAGGAACTCGTCTGCAGCTGTGAGACTTGCACTTGCCCGTAGCTATTAGAACATTAAGCCGGAGTGTGGAACCAGTATAGCGCAATGGGTCTAAGCATGATTCTCCCCTTGCATGACTGTTCAATTCGGTTGACTGGCAAATTCGAATCACTGCAATCCTGGGAACGCTGCCACTGCTGCTAGCTAACACAGCTCATGAGCAATTAAAACCCATATTTAGTATGTGTATTCAAACCGCAGTGAACGGAGAAGAATGATGGTGAATGGATGATGGAGAACGGAGAAGCATCGAAGAGAATCCCATTGCACTGACGAGTGCTAGAAGATTCTGGCGACGGGTTGTGCAGGTTTGAGGATTTCAGACATTGTCAAGTTTCGAGGATGAAGACCAAGTGGTTCATTCTGTTGGTGTGGCTCATGGCCACCGTGCTGTGTTCAAGTATGGACGCGACTGAAGCTCACAAGAGCATGAAGGTGCCCACCTTTTCGGGCAAACAAGAGGATTTTCAGGCGTGGTGGATGAGGTTTACAGCCTTTGCTACTTTGTTGGGTTTAGTGCCATGCTCGCTTCTACTAAGCATCCCGCTTTACCCACCAAAGAAGCTGAAGTTACTGGAGACTCTGAAGATGACAAGAAGGCTAGGGCAATGCACAACAAGGCAAGATTGTATCTCATCAAGGCTCAACTGAAGCATGCATTGTTGTTCATGATGTCAGAAACAGCCACAGATGATTGGCCTGGAGGTTTGGTGCATGCTTGAACCGCCTGACATCGGATGGTGACATTGTTACATTCTTCAAAGACGGCTCCACTGTGGGTAGTATTGGGGTTGAAAATGCTGACTATCGTAAGGATGATACAAATCTGACTGTACTGTACATTGTACTTCCACATACATGAAACAACAAGTACAACATCCAAGCATGCCGTACCGGTACGGTACCACAGCACAGGTACAGTATGGTGCATGGTACTGAGTAGAAGCCATCGAAGCGGTAGAGACAGCAAAAGTTGGACGATGCGATGTCTCCTGTTTTGGGGTTGTGTCTGAAAGAGTTTGTTTGCTGTCATGCACTGGGAGAAGCAGGAAAACGCATTACAAGCATTACACGCCTGAGTAGACTGGTTGGTTGTTGACTGTCAATGCTATGGCTAATAGTGAGGCTGCAACTAGAGTAACTACAAACTATTTTAATAATCAAAGTCAAACTCATTGTTGACTCTATCATAGTACTACACCTGCCACATTGGCCGGTCCATGATCTGGAGCTGCACAATGTTGGCCACAGCATGGGCCATCTTACCATGTTTATCAAGGGAATGGCGCCACCTCTGAAGGAGGCAGCCCCATTCCTTCAGCCTTCTATTGACACATTCGTGCCTGGCCCTTGCAAGAGCCTTCCTGCTAGTCTGTTGTTGATTGTCAAGGTGTCGCCATGAGCAGTCAAAGAACCGAGGATACCCCTGTACCCTTTGTCAGCCACAGCTCTCTCATCTCCCTCAAACATGTGGACCAAAGATGACAAAGAAATGGCAATATCAACCCATCCGCCACAAGGGAAGGGACCATTCATCCACACAATCCATCCAGTTTGAATACATACACCAATTTCATACCTCAATCCAGGACCATTAAACTTCTTGGTATACCAGCCAGTAGAGAAAGGACCTGGTTCCCGGATGCGAAAGTCGGTGCCATCAACAGTTACCAGACACCGACTGCCATTGTCATTCATCAGTCTGTTCTCCCATCTGATCTTGAGCAGCAGTGATGGTGGAGTGTAGCATGTACATGGTGAGGTCTCTGTATTTGTGGAGTCGGCAATGAAGAAAAGAAAAAGCGCTAGCGCTAGCTTGGTTGTCACGTACCAAGTCAAGAGTAGCGATCTTCTCAATGAACACCCACACCCAATGGCGAATTGTCTTTTCATCCTTCATGAAGATCATGGCCAATACAGCGGTGACAGTGTAAGTTCTCAGGAACATGAGTGTGGCCAGAAAGTAGGTTACCCATCGAATGTCACTGAGGGGATCTTCATCGTCCAGCATGTTCCACAGTTCTGCCGCCAGCTCAGGACAGACACCAAAGCATCCTCGAAACGTCTGGTGGTAGCGATATGTCTCATGATCCACTGCCCTGGCTGCAAGGCCTTGGTAGAGGGAAGCAGTACGGATAATGGTGGTTGGTGTTATCTGCATTGTGGTTGATGAGCGAAAGTCAATTTTGTGAGAATTTCGACGACAGAAACCTCCAAGATAATAGATCAAGTCATGTCCGGCTTACCTGTAGCCCTCTGTACAATCCAGTAGCGTTTCGCCATTGACTACCTTGTAAGACCACATTGAAGGTGTACCGGCAAGAAAAGAGATGCCGTCCAAGATGGTCATGGTGGTGTTCTGGCAAAAAGAGATGCTCATGGTGGAGAAGCGAAATATAGTGACTATTTTGCTGGTGGTTGACAGGAATGGCAATTCAGAGAGCGAATCCTGCTTGGCTTAAGAGAGGAGTACCGGACGTTTGGTGTTTATGTGCTTGTCTTTTTCGCGCAATAATTCAAATCAGGTTCAATTTTTTGTTCACATTTTCGTCTATTCTGCTGTGGTTTGCCTTGGTGAAGTTCGCCTTTCATCCTCAAAGACAGAAATTGCCCATTATAGGTATACCGGCTAGAGGACTCGCGATATCAGAGAGAATACACCACTACCAATACGTCTAGTGATACAGACCTTCTAAAGCATGCTTTATTTGTACACGCACAACACCAGCAATGGCGGTTTGCAGTGCTGAAGAGTGTACAACGCCCTGGTAAAAAGCGTTCCAGGACGTTGTGATGCCCTGGATCACCAATTTCAGGAGGCGATATCGAAACCTAGAAGACCACCTTCCTAGCCAAAGAAGGCTCAGGTGCACTGTCTATTATTAGTAAAAGCAGAGAGCGCCCAGGTTGATCAGGCTGGGTCCTTGTAGACCTCCAGATCGACACCTTGAAAGAGTGATTTGTGTGTGGGTGCGTTCTGTGATGGGCGTATCACACCATGGCACACCCTAGCAAAATGGAGGTCAAAATTGTGAGATTGATTTGTGGAACCAACGGTTGGAATCGAGTTGGCCAAGCAAGCAGCGCGCCATTCCACATGACTGAGAGGCAAAGAAAAATCGCTAACCAGTATGACCGATAACTCTTGGAGTTTCTCACATGCATCTGAAATTTTATTCGTGCCGGTCGTGCCGGTGGTAACTGGTAACCGGCAAGATTGATCTTGCCAGTGAAGCGAACTGCACAAAACTGCACAACCAGTAAACTTCCACTGATACCAGTAGTAGCCAACCAAGATGGTGATCTTCTTCCTCTCAGAATGGCGCTCCTCTCTTCTTCTCACAAATCGAAACCACCATCCAAAGCAAAAGCAATTGGCCAAGCAAGAAGCAATCGACAATGTCCTCCAGAAAGAGCGTGACAAAGAAAGGGGAACCTGTGAAGCACATCTTCAAGCAAGATGGTCCCGACTTCAAGTTTCTGCTTCGACTGTTCCACAATGGAACCATCACTGATGAACAACCCGCCGCTGTGAGAGCCATGCATGAGCGATTCCAGAAGTACTCCACAAACCAGTTTCGATCTCAGTTCAACAAAGCCAGAGGAATGGCTGCTGGTGTTGCTCTCAGGGGACCACAACCACCACAAGAAGATGATGGTCCACTACCCATTCTTCCAAGTTTCGTCCCTCGCAACCAAGTCCCTGTCGTGGCAGCCAGGCCTCCTGCAGTTGCGCAGCTTCCTTCAATGGCTGACAACGATGATGAGGATGATGTTGCGGAAGAGGATGGCCCCACTACTTGGAAGCCAAAGAGGATGGTCAAGGAATGGGAGAATGAACATGGCATTCGCCATGTCACTATTATTGTCTGGCTGAGCAGTGGCGCGACTGAAGCCGACATCGAAACCATGGTCTCTGCGAATGGCAAGAAGCTAACAATCAGTGAGAAGTGGCACCAAGACCTCTTGGATATTGGGGAGTTCTATTATCTCTATCAACAACACACAAGGGAGAACCTAGAGGATACCAATGTGAGGCGCCATGCCATGCAGCAGTATGTCAGGTCCATCCTTGATGTCAGAGGTGATGTCATTTCAGAGTTAGCCATGGAGCTCCCCTTTCCAGTTGATCCCTCTACTTTGAATGTTACCTTCCCCAGCTTTGAGTCTGGTGCATTGTTCTGCCATGTTGACTTGGCTGAGAAAAGGAAGAAAAGGGTAGCTCAATCCTTTGTCATGAGGAAGAGGCATGCCAAGGGCAAGAAGAAGGGTGATATTGAATACAACAACCTGACCCCTCATCACTAGACAAACTCAACAACAGCCATGGCTTTGATGTGTGTTAGGCACACTGTAAACAAGAACAACAACCAACCAATCTAGGAGCAACATGTTGAGTGCTCATGTAACCAAAAAGGGTAGCTTGTTGAATACCCTTGTAGAAGAATAAGAGATACTAGTATCAAGCAACAATGATGTAGTGGTGTTGTACTAGTAGCTGTGTAATGCGTTTTCCTGCTCCTCCCTGGTACATGTACCGGCACCAACATCACGATGATCGAGCACGTTCAGAAAGAGTCCATAATGGCGTACGTAGTCAGCATGGTGATGTACACCAGCTCGCTTCATCAGGTGCGCCCAGAGACAGTGGCCACGGTGCTACTGCAGGACCAGTTTTGCTGCGAGGGTCCAACCTTCCGATTACCGTACACCGATGCCCTAGCTAGTTTTATTAGGAGCCTGAAATAGATAGCTGGTGCCAAATCAAAACGTTACTAGTCTAAGGTTCACGAGGCAAGGACGGATTATCGACAACTCGTCCCTGTCTCCTGAGTGTACTTGTACACGATTTTTCCCAAGGTTCTTCTCTAACAAAATTAGCTGGCCAACCGGCAATGCCATCAACTCTAGCTAGCTAGTCCAGCAGTTCAATTGCCTGCACAATCGATACCCGTTGTAGAATGTGGTGTGCATTGTCACGAAGAAAGGCCACCCAGGTAGGCCGATGCTCCTTTCGAGCGTAACAAAAGGGTGTGTGGCCTCTGACATCTTCCATGAGCAACATGCTGGGTGGAATCTTTTTGAGCAAGAGGCCCACAACATCCAGATTGGGCTTGCTGGTCCAGCAGGCATCATGGAGCGGCGTCCTTCCGAAATCATCCGCGACATCCAACCGGACATTGGCTTCGTCAATCAAGAACTGGATCACCCCCAAGTCTCCGCGACGACAAGCCATGTGAATGAGCGATTCACCAAACCTATTCGAAGCGTCAAACTTGCGCCCTTCCTCCAGCATGGCGCGGAGCTTGTCCACATTGCGTTCTCGAATGGCACGAACCACTATCAGGTCGTAGGCTTCCACGGCATCTTCGCTGGGTCTTCCAAAGCCAACAGGGTTCTTCCTTTGTTTCTTTTCCATCCATTTCTTGGTTGTGTCGCTCAGGGAAAAGAGAGACTTCAAAAAGTCCACCGGGTTGTTGATCTTTTCATCAATCTTGATGAGACTGCCAATGTCAGCAACGTCGGCAGCCACCGCCAGTTGCGCTGCTGCTCCAGCTGTAGTGGAGGTGGGGGTTGGTCCATGGATGGGTCGACCTCGCTTCTTTCCAGAAGAGGGCGGCAACAGGCTGCAAGGCTTCATCGCGGCAAGCTGGGTTCGATCTGGACTCGTCAGAAAGTTGTCCATCTAACAGATCTCCTTGAGTGTTTTGGGTTTTGGGTTTTGTAAAGTTTGCTTTGGAATTGACGAAACACTCGTTGCGTTTTATTATGAACCTTTCCGACAGACGACGGCAGCATCCAACAACCAGAGAGACCCAGCGACCTTCTTCTTTTGTTGGGCTGCGTGGCGCCGTTGGTTGATGGCTTTGTGATGGATAGCAGATTGAGTGGAGCCACGATCAGCACTGCCTGAATCTAAAGCCTTGAGCGCTTTCGTTGGGTCCATGGCGAAGAGGTCTTGCATGACGGAATTTTTGCCATCTGCCGATTCCGAGTCGAAGGCCAAATCGACGTGGTGCAAAAGGGCAATTTCATGCCACTTTGTCAGAGAACGGGGAAGTTCTATTCATGAATCAAACTGTGGATGAAATCTATTTTGTACAGCTTGCAATAGTAACTGCTCCTCTGGACGAACGCTAACGAATCTTAGTCACCAGAAAGCTGTTTCTCAAATTGCCCCTTTCAGCTTACGTGGCACAAATGTGTTAACGGTTCCCTAGCAATTTTGTCACTGCTTCTCATTGCACAGCTGGAAGCTTCACCAAGCTTTTTGGATCCACTTTGCAATTTTTTTTTGCTTTGAGGAATGTTGCAGTTATGCAGAGCTTTGGATGCAGCATGCAGCATGATTGTACTAGTATTGGTGTGCCGGTACTGGTACTTACTGGTCCAGGTGCCTAGCAAGACCCACACATACTTTTGGAATAGGCACAATTCCGGTCTAGGTTGGTCTGCGTGATGCACAGGTCGAGGTTCAGAGACTTTGTTTTGCTTTGGATATTATGGTAGGCCCCGGGGCAAGCGGATCCCGAGGACGTGAAAAAAGAATTTTGTCGCTGCAGCTTCACATGGTCTGGGTTGGTCCAGTTGTGAGTGGAGTCCAGGTGGCAGTTCATTTTCCTGCTGGTAGGCTCCACTCCTGGACCTGACACGCCGCTGGTCCATATCCAGGCACCACCCTGAACCAATTCAAGGCTCCAAGTCTGGCCAAACTAGCTACAGATCTAAACACTGCTCAACAGGATACCATTCAAACCCAGAGCCAACCTCCAGACTCCAGGGAAGGGAGAACAAATGGGACCTTCCTGGAGAGGGAATCGCAAATGGCAATACTACGGATTCGAGAAGAACTGTCCTTTCCCCATAGTGCTGAAGCTGATTTCCGACCCTCAGAAGGAGATTTTGCTTTCCTTTACATAGCTTCTGTACATTTCTACCTGGGGCGTAATCCGAACCCGCTCGGTCCTTGTTAGATACTGACTCTATCCTTAAGCAAAGGAATGTCCTTTAATTTTAACGGTTCGCGGAAGAACTGGAGGCGGTCGCGCGTTTTTGGCTCGTGCTGGCGTCTTTTCACTTTTCGAATTGGCGCGAAGTTGGCTGCAGCGGCAACAACAACAACAACGACGACGATTGTCAACCACCACCATGACGATGCTCCGGAGGCCGATACCCAACGAAACGACGCTTCTAAAATACAAGTAAGGTCTCTACAATTAGTCTATATTACCACTACCGATGTAGCAACAAGCGCAAGCTTCAAAGGCGGTGTAGTCGTCGAGGAATGGTTGTTGTTGTAGCAGCAGGATTTCGGTCCACTCCACCGCGCCGCACTCAACAAGAGGAAGGGAAGGAGATTGAGCGCCACAGCTGCGCCGTTGCTTGGAAAACACTATGTGGGTGCAACACTGCCGCTGCGGCCTCCAAACTCGCTCTGGTTGCAGCTTCTCTCTACTGTACGAGTCTGGTGGCTATTTTAATAGCTAGCTAGTGTCGAGCGACGTCCTTTCGGCCTTTTTCTGCGAGGTCAACCAAAGAGATAAAGTGACCCTTTGAGCTTGTTTTGGCTTGGGTACACTACTATTTCTTCGATTGTTGCTTCAGGGGTCACTTTATTGCTTTGGATCACCTTCGTTTCGTGGGATTGGTGATACACGTTTTATGAGCCCCCAGCCTCTACTCGGTGCGCACACCGTCTCTTTAAAAAAATAAAAAAGTAAAGCTCAAGGGAAATTTGCTTCGGGACCTCTGAAATTGGCTTGAGAGGGTGGGAAATCCGCTTCCGAGTACAGGAAAAGGACAGTTCTTCTCGAATCCGTAGTACGTACCCGTCCGCGTACCATACAGTACCGTTCAGCCACGTACAGGTACCATCTCCCACGTTAAAACAGGATTTATAATATCTTTGCTGGCTTATTAGTTGGCCCAAACCACCATACCGCAATCACAGAATCACAGCCGAGCACCACGGTCACAATGGTCTCGACAACATAATGGACGTCGGACCAGGTACACGTAGTGTCGGTTGGCTGCCAAACATGTTAATACTGCCACCGATTTGGGATACGTCTGCTGCTTGTCTTGACGGTGGGATGCAACAATATCGGCTTCAGTACGAGTGATGCTCTTGTCCTTCTCTCGTTGCCATCTCTCGCGAGCAAATCGTCTTGCAAGCCCCAGCATCGAGGCTTGCCCCTTTGTGGACTCAGTCAAGAGTTGGCTGGAGCAAAAGAAGGAATTTCTTAGACTCCCTACAGTGTATTAGAAGGAACTGCTATTAATAGTTCACTCCCAATCTGGAATGTGTCGAGTGTTCCACAGAACAGAGCTGGTTGACCGATACCACAGTCTCGCATCTATGCTTGAAAGCATCACGGCTCAATCGGCAATGTCATTTTTGAAAGACCATCATTTGTGGGGTGCCACCAAATCCAAGTATTACTGTGGACTCTTCTTCTTGGATAAATCCTCTTCGTCGCAATTGGTAGCAGTCGCCACCTTTTCCTCCCGTCGCATGTTTGGTGCAACGAGGACAACAGCAACAACGCCACAATAATCAGAAATCACACGAACTCATTCGGTTTTGTACGCACCGTCAGGGGGGTCGTGGTAGGTGGATTGACCAAACTGTTGAGCAAATTTGTACAAGACCAAATGACATTGTGACGATCGAGATTGGGGCAGTGGCAACGGTTGGCATGCTCTGGGATTTCAAACCGCGGCCATTATGCCACCACTCGCTTTGGCTGTTACCACCGACAAGGCGGAGATTCCTGTAAGACGGCATTTGGTGGGAGCGAGAATTCAGCCTTTTCCACCAACCGTAGACAACAATCTCCTGGAGCATGTCCAACATGGACGATGGGGACTGTTAGAACATGTCATGAAGGACCTTGAGCAATGCCAAAACAACGCTCAAGCCGTGTTCCAATGCCTGTAACGCGACCATGCTTATTTTCCCGTCTATGACACCAGTGGAACGTCTCTTGTGGATTGTTTCAAAACAATCATAATAACAACAGCCCTGACGCCAAGAAACGGCCCAGGATCTCGGGGATCATTCCATTCCGAGCTATGCCAACCACTATTATAGACAACCGTGGCATTGAAGCCATGCTCAGTCATGCGAGAACATCCATAGCTACCGTACGTCATGATGCAGACTACATATCGCCACGGTGCCGGCAACATACAATAAGACGAGCAAATGACATTTTCAAGGAGTTTCATCGGTCTTATGCCAACGCTGCGATAGGAACGCCTTCCTACGAGCAACCATGATGACCATCCATTCCAAGTAGTCTACGTTGGGTCCACAAAAATGTTCACAGGCTGGAAGAGGTTGCTACAAGGGACACGAACACAATATGTCGGTGACGCAATCCGGTTGATGTTCGCTGTAGCTGCCAGAATTCGGCAAGAAAAGCACGAAGCGTTGAGTAAGAGCGAAAGACATGCCCTGCCGCAAAAGACATGAGCAAAACTTCCAATTCATGACCAAACTCGCTGCATTGCGATTGCGGCCTATCAATGTGGTACTGTACTGACATACTGGTTCAGTATCTTTCATTCATTTTATGCACTTAACATACGACAGACTTTTGTGTCATGACTAACATCTACAACATCCTCCTGGTGGCCCATGCTGCAAGCATCACCAACGCCAGAGGCGCTGCGAATCCGGGCTTTCCTGTTCCGGCGCTGGTTCCACTGAATCCAATGATTTCATTAGTTTCGCTTCCTTCCCCAGCTCTCTCAACTGTAGAAGCAGAACCGGATTCCACAGGTTCATCAACAGGTGCGCTTGTTGTTGGGTTGGCTGTCGGTGACTTCGTTGGCGCGTCTGTGGGCGCCACCGTTGGGGAGTGAGTGGCTCCTTCTTCCAGGATCAGCAACTTGTGGACAATGCCATAATACAAGTCTTGCAATGATTCACACTTGACGGCGGCATCGTCGACAACGTTGCTGCAATCAATATCCAATTCCCCAGCATCCATCGGGCCACAAAAGTTACACCTTTGGCAGGCCACTCCATCAACCTTGAGCTCGCAGTAGTCAAACAGATCTTCATCCTGGCCTTCTGGTTTTGATTGGTGTTCACCGATCTTAAATTCCAGTTTTCGGATGCTGCTGGACCCTACATGAAACTCTGTGGTCCAGATCTTTTGTTCCGTCTGCATGAAACAACCAGTGTACACGTCCCCGACGTAATGCTCCTGAAATGAAAAGATGTCCGATCGGAAACTCTTAAAGCAGACCCCAACGCATTCCCCGTCATCACAAAAGGGATTGAGACCACCATTGTATAATGTATCTTCAGTGGCAACCTCGCAAGTTTTCTTTCCACAATTCCCAGCAAGATTGCAACCGCCCCTTCCACAGAAACTTTGTCCGTCTGGTTGGTAATACCACTCACAGGCTACAGTTGTGGACAAAAAAGATGACAGTTTAGCATTTTGTCGTCATGAGGGAGACAATCAGAACAGAGTACAACACTTACTGCTGACGCCATCTGATTTGATTGTTGAAGTGCATGTGCCACAGTCTGTGATGTTGCTGCGTCCTGTCGATCCAAAGACAAAAATCAAGGGGAGAAATAATTTGAATTGTTAGAATGAATCACATCAATGAACGCTTGCTTGGCCACAAAAAGAGAAAACAGGATCGTACCACAAAGCCATGCATCCGCCTCCAGTTCAGCCTTGAAATGACAAACCTCTGTGCTATTAGCCGCTGGGAAAATGGCATCGGCCCAGCACAAGTCGTCTCCCGCAAAGAGACAATGATCAAGACAAAACCCTTCCACAGCACCACACCCAGCGTTCAAACATGCTTCACACGAAACGTTTCCATGCTGCAGATTGTTGCACGCCAGAGCACTGCCATTCACGTTATTGCTCAGAGTATGATAGGGCGCGTGGGCTTGTGTTTGATGCGTCTTGTTGGCTTCCACTTCTACAGCTGTCGCATTGGTACCATCGTCCGCGCACTGATAGAGATTGCAGTCGGCAGTAAAACAAGTCTCGTCATCGTCATAGAAGAAATCACAGCGAGTGCAGGGGACTGAGACGGTCTCTGGTGCAGGTGTCGGTGCAATGGTGGTTCCTGGCTCTGCTTCGTTGTAGACAATTTGGAGTTCGCACATTTCATCCTCGGATTCGGTGCATTCGTAGCGCATGGGAAAGGCAAAGGTTGTCGCAAAAAAGTGGTTCAACGAGTCGACATCTCGAAAATAAGGATTCGGAGAAAGGGCCGACACGAACAGTTGGCATTCTTCCACCGTCGAACCCACGGGTACTCCACTCGCCGAGATCCCCACCGTCTCGGTAGTGACGTCTTGACAGTCGGCAATATCCGCAATATTCTCGTATTGCTCGCAGAGTGGCTGAGCAAAGGGATTCAAGGGCAATTCTTCGCATTTCTTGCGCTCTAGTTCTCCAGCAATCCAATTGGAGACTGACGTAGCTCCACCACATTGGTCGCTACCCACTTCCGCGGTGGGATCTTCCACCTCCTGCTGCAGCGCGCGTCTAATATCTTTGTCCAAAAGCGCTAGCTGCCTCTCAAAAGCATGGTCTCTCAGAAGCGGATGCCTCTCATCTTGTTGCAGCAAAGCAACAGTCCTGTCAAACAGACCAAGCACAACGGCAACCGTGGGGGAAAACGCGACCTTCATTTTGAAATTATGATAGTGCACACCAAGAGAAAAAATGATCAATCCCAAACAGCGAATGCTGGAGAGGCGGAGCAGTTTTAGGAGATTCGGTGCAGGTTCTGGTGCAGTTTTCAGACTTGGCAGGACTGTATCTTTTTGAGAACCCAAAACCCAACGGCGGCAGCATCCACTCACAAAGATTCAGACCAACCCTCCATGCTTATCTAGCTAGCTAGACTAATTATTAGTACCACCGTACTAGTACCGGGTACCGGGTACCGGTACCATCCTTTCGAAGCTTCTTCGGCTGATAGCAACGGAAAAAAAGATGTGTACCCCCCAATATTTTAATAGACCCCACTGTTTCAGACGGGAATGCATGGCGATGTTGGTTCGGTGCCACCCTCGGCTGCGAAGGACTCGACTCATCATGTTTGAAGCAAAACAGTTTCTTTTCTCAAGCGCCCTGGAATACATTGCAATTCCTGTGCAGTAATAATAAGTACTATTAATAGTATACCTTGTTTGGTATTCATAGACTGTCACACCTCTTTTCTGTTGGTTGTACTGTACATGTATTTTCCCTCTGCTAGCATCAGCATCAGCATCCTGCTATGATAATTGTGTTCTTCCAATCTCGTATCTAACTTCTTCCTACTTGAGTACATGTAAGGGATAGGCAGACTTTGTTACATAAATCACAAATCATTTGATTTCGCTTGGGCTTTGGTGTCAGTGTGGGGGAAGCTGTGTGGACTGTGGGGGTCAAAACGAGTGCCCTTGGGGTCGGATGAGTCACGCTTTGAATCCCGATCAGTACAGCTGGTACGTGCACGTACTGTACGTGTTCGCCTCGTTGGTGGCAGGATCGAGGCAATCGAGGCAACCATTCCAAAGGTTGATGCCAACCCATCAACCGATGCATGCAAGAGACCATCAATAGGTACGATACCACCGGTAGCTTCGCAACTACTGCCACTGGCTTCGCAACAAGCTGGCTGGGGTTGTGTTGAGTTCGTGATGCGTATCCAACCACGTGCTTTGGTCTCTTTCATCTGGGCTTCTCGTCAACAAAGAACTGGTCTGGTGCTTTCAAGTAGTTGTTTCTCATTATCGATGAAAGAAACAAAAATGGCTGCAACAACTCCTTCTTTTCCCACAGCATCCTTGTCATCATGGACAGGATGGGTCGTTCCACGCATACTTCCTTCCGAAACTAACAACAACAATGATTCGATCAATGCCATGGCTGAAAAGTGTCAGATCGATCCAAGCTCGCTCTGTCCTGGTCGAGGTCGTGAGTCCCATCCCTTTGCCACAAACAGCAAGGCCCATGCTACATGTATGGAAGATGAAGGTCCATTACCACCATCATCACAAGCTACAGCACAGACTCAAACGACTGTCCAATTACTAGATATCGATGAGAAAAGTGAACTGACATCCTTGGATATTTACCTGTTTCCACCTGATAACAGCAACAACGGAACCAACCCAGAAGAACCACTGCACGTGCGAATGCAACGGAGCTCTCAAGAGATGGTCAACCATACCCTGCAACGAATGGCACTCAGCATCAACAAGCAATTAACCAAACGTTTCAACAGATCTAGAAAGAAAACCAAACTGCAAAAGGGGCAGCAGACAAAAAGCAGTCCTCTGCTACTCCAAGCAGACAGTGGTGTCATTCTCCAAGCGGATAGCATTATACCAATGACAAAACGCACCAATCAACAAGTCTGGAGTCAGGCCGCATCCACACCCACGACCGTCCAACTACAGCTGGAAGATTCGTCCACCCTTTCCCTTCCAGTAGAAGCTTGTCCTCCTACCATTATTTCCGTGGCAACCTTTGAAGACTTTGGCGCTCGCGTCTTTTGTCACGTCCCCTTGGTGGTACAAGTCCAGTCGATGTTTGCTTCCCATGTCGTTGTCGATTGGTATGTGGGAGATCAACTGGTGCTCCAAGATTCTGCCACGTACACACCACAATCTGCAGATGATATTGGCAAGAAAATTTCCATCCTCGTCACGCCTGTGCGGAGTGCAACCTCTCGTACAAGTCATCACACAGGGTGTGGATATGAACAAGCGTATCAATTTCAACATGTTATAGAAGCCTTGCCAGAAAATACTGCCATCAATGTGCGTCGTGGCGATCTATGGACAGACCCAGATCGACGACAACGACTACAAGACTCTCCTGCAGGCCCTATACGAGTTGTCACATACAATATTTTGGCCGATCAAAATGCCTACGAACGAAACACTCATGCCAAACAAGTACCTTGCCGTCCCTATGTCAGTCTTGCCACCTTGGATAAGGCTCGCAGGATGCCTCTCATATTGCACGAGCTGTTGTCGTACCAAGCAGACATTTTGTGCCTGCAAGAAGTCGATGAAAACATCTGGAAAAGGCTCTTTCGGCCAACGCTGGAGCAGATGGGATATCAAGGATTCTTTAGTAACAAGGTTGCCAAGGGAATGAGTGAAGGATGTGCCATGCTTTGGTCGTTGCATCGCTTTGAAAAGATTCCCGAAGAGGAAATGAAACACTATGGACTGGCTGACTTGATACAAGAGACAATCCAAAGTGTCAAGAGCCAACAACAGTGGAAGTCGGCAACGGCGATTGGTCAAGTCCTGCAAGAAAAACAACATCTGAGAAATGTCATTGAAAACAAACTTGGGCATGTCGTTCAGATGGCATTGCTGCCACTGCGCAGCAATAACAATGACAGGACGCAACCGGATCGCATCTTGCTGGCCAACACGCACCTCTTTTATCATCCGTACGGTGCCCATATTCGACTGATGCAAATGTACGCGATTTGCCAGCAACTGGAACGATCTACTGATGGTGTGGTTTGTCCCATGATCTTGTGCGGTGACTTGAACTCGAGCTTGCGGCGTGCGGCGGGATATCTTTTGATTCATCGACAAGTGCAATCCACTCACACTCAAATACGGGAACATTTCAACACTTTCCATTGGAAAGACCGTGACGACAACGTTGCCACTGTAGGGGCCAAGGCGGTGGCTGTTGGCGGGTCCGTCACTGCAATGAGAATTGAGAACACAGAAAAGGATAAAGACAACGATGACTGGGAAGATTTCCCTACTATTGAGCTACCGCCACATTTTCCAACCTTCAAGGCTGGCTACGAAACGGAGCCCGAGTTTACGCACTACCTGGACAGCTTCAAAGGATCGCTGGATCACATTTTCGTCTCGCAACCCTCCCAGAACAGTCCTTTTGGACTCGAACCGTTTCAGGCGGCGCCGATGCCCAGCGTAGAATTGGTCACCGAACAGATTGGCATGCCAAGCGAGAAGTTTCCGTCGGACCACATAAGCCTAGTGGCGGATCTAAAGTTTACAAGCTATTCATAAAGGAGCAACCAGCTACCGCTGTACAAGAATTCACCCGCTTGACTGGTGCCGTTGCGCAAAAAGTTTAGCCACATCATCTATAGCGAGTTTTGTGTTCGTACTGAAGTTACACGAAACTGAACCACATTTGGCATGTCAAATGAGAGCTGGGCTGAGGAGCAAGCAACTAGTCAAAGCGCTTGGCTGGGTCAAGAAAAAGTCAACATCTGGTGGAACGATTTTCGTCTGCTAGGACTCAGGCTTCTCGTTTCTCTTCGGCAGCTTTTGTTTGTGATGAGTTGGCTTTCGGTGGCGTGTTCCTGCTCTTCAATCTGTTTCATAAACTCCTCTATAGCACTCGTCTTGGCTTCTTCACTGTCCACCGTCTTCAGTACCTCGTCTATGACACTCTTAAGTATTATTGAGACAGCCGACAGAAAAGATGTTGGAAGCACTTCAAGAGGCAATTTGTTTCTCAGGTGTTCCCCATCTGTTATCATGTCCAGCTTGTCGTAGACATCACCCAAGGTCGTTGTGAACTTCTCGGTTGGGATTTCGACGTCTCCAAACAGTATGTCTTTGGCGGTTATTGTGCTGTCGTCGTAGAATGAGCAGTTTTCCATATCTCTTGGTCCTACCACGGCGCCTGATATAGAAGCAGACACGTAGGCGCCTTGACAAAAGGCTATCGAGACAGTGCCGCCGACACCCACATGATGAACGTGCATTGATCCACTCATGTTAGCACTGGTTCCGCTTTCGGATAAATTGACGTTCGCACCCGCGTTTGTGCCCATGGTGCCCAGTGTGACACTTGTACCAACACCAAGTTTGAGACCTACTTTGCTAGTAAAGGCTTGAACGCTTCGTTCGTCTAGAGCAAAGATGACGACGTCTTTAATGACAGCTCCCAATGAAAATCCCCAACTCGTGCTCGCCATTCCGCAGGCACATGGAGGGCTCCATGTGTCTGTCTTTTCCTCCTTGGTCATCATGATGCCAACCCCTGCAGATCCAGACACAACGAGTGCTCCCTCGACAACTGAGATCATGATGATACCCTTTGCTTTCTGAAAGAGTTGTGTCAAGGCGCCGTCTGTGTCCGTCCTGGCCATGTGATCTAGGACACGATCGGCTTTTTCGATCATTCCGTCCATCTTCAATCGTGTTGGCAGTAGTTCTATAGGCATAATACCGCCAACTGTTGAGGAGTTGTCGAAAATCGTTGGTGGTGTTGGATACGACCGGGTCTGAAAGGCAGAGCTCGACGGGACGGAAGACGAAGAAACTGTCGAGAGATTAATGAAAGTTAAGGTGGCAGAGAGGCGCGTTGGACTTTGCGGAAGCAGCCTGGTTAGCTGGCGAGTCTGAACCTTCCTCCAAGTCCTCCTCTGATTGAATGATGAATCAGCTTGACGACAGGAGGTTGAGCAATCCAACAGGTCATTGTTCAGCAAAACAGTATCCAAGTCAAGCAACACAGCTGTGAAAAGGTCCACATTTTGGTTTGGCTTGTGCGCCTAAGCCTTGCCAATACTGTATTCTACACAGTTTGTTGAGCTTGTGGCGTTGCCGGCGTCCGTTCCGCAACCTTGAGTTATCCGAGCTCATCAACAGCAAGAGGAAGCTGTTCAGCCACGAGTAGAGCTATGTAGCTCTACTCGTGGCACTGAAATGTCTCCCGCATACGAATTGGGCGGAAGAAGGGTTGAATAGTATGACGTCGCGGATACTGGATTGTAACAGGCTGGCTAGCTATAGTAGCTAGAGGTGGCGACAGGAGAATCGAGCATCGAGGGTGGACGACCAGTCGAGCTGCTATTTTAAAGTACCTGTCCACGAAAGAAGGGAAATGGATTCTCACGAACACTATAGCTCTTCGCTGCTTTTAACTTCAGGTACATTGTGTCGTTCTGTGTACGGTAGCAGTTTACGTGGAAGCAGACTGATCGTTGACTAAATAAAGGGAGTTTCATCGTCCACGAAAACCAGACGTCCATCAATCAATAGCTGTACTTGGTTGCTTCAATAACATCCGATATACCGGTAGGAGTGGCTTTGGTACAGTATCAAACGGGGAAGAAGTGGCCTTGGAGCTGCAGCAGGACGAGTCTCAGTCAAAGCTGTGCTTGACAAAAAACTGGAGGTGTGGGAGTGGATTTTATTCGATTCGATTGAATCATTCGAGTCCGAATTGATTGAATCATTCGATTCGAATTGATCATTGACAACTAACTTCAATGACGCGATCTTCCGACAGAGCAAAATGGCAGCATCATTTCCCCCCGTTCTTTGCGAAAGGACCCTTCGAGAAAGGACGATGATGGTCTCTTCCAAGGTCTCCCTCATTGCTACCTCAACTGCTCGACGCTTGTTTTCCAGTATGAGTGCAGCTATGGAAGGACGCCGTCCGGTGGCATTGTTCCTCAATGCTTCCCGCTTGGACTATGACAACAAGCTAGACTTTTCTCGGATTCAAGCCCTGTGTGATTTTCAGCGCCACGATACCGACATAGTGAAGGATCTGGATGAAATGGTGTCACTGGTAGAGAAACACCAAGCTGAAATTGTCATCACCAAGGAAATGCCGGTCCCCGAAGAAGCCTTTCGACGATTTCCGGACTCTGTGAAATTACTCTGTGAAGCAGGAACTGGATACAACAATTTGCCAATCCAGGCAGCGCGGGAACGCAATGTTCCCGTCTGCAACTGCCCCACGTATTCCACTGATGCCGTGGCGCACATGGCCATTACCTACCTCATGAACTTTTCTGTCAGCATGTTTGACCAGCAACGCATGCTTTGGGAAGACAATCGGGCCAATTTCACAGGTCCTTTTACATTGCCACTGTCGGAAATTAATGGCAAGACGCTGGGGCTTGTCGGTGGCGCAGGAAAGATTGGAACCAAAGTAGCCCAAGTTGGTCTGGCATTGGGAATGAATGTGATCATTAGCAGTCGAAAACCAACCTTGCCAGAAGGACATGCCTTGAGCGACAATCCACGTGTGACGGTTTGCACCTCGGAAAATGTGGGAACATTGCTTTCTCAATCAGATTATGTGAGCTTGCATACGCCCTTGAACGATCAAACCCGTGGGACGTTTGGAAGAGCACAAATATCGCAAATGAAACAATCAGCATTTCTCATCAATACATCACGAGGAGTAAGCATCAGACAGAGAAAAGGTATTGATTGCTATCTCTTGTGTTGAGTGACCTCACATGCATCTCTGTATCTCTTGCCCCCTTCGAATTCTTTCGTAAAGGCTGTATGCAACGAGGAGGAACTGATTGGATGTATGAAAGAAAAGATGATTGCAGGAGCAGGACTGGATGTGACAACCACCGAACCGCCACCCATGGATAGCGAGTTGTGGAACTTGCCCAATGTTTTTCTATCTCCGCACACTGGATGGCGCCGCATTGAAACACGACAACGCCTGGTCACCATGACAGCTGAAAACATTGAGGCGTACTGTCAAGCCAACAATAAGGAGGAAGCCATGATCAATATCGTGAATTAACTGATTCAATGCAAGAGTCAGAGACTTTACCTTTGACCAGTAGTGTTCAACAATGGCAAACGAACAAAATTAAACAAAGTATAACTATACAATGCCTAAACCTGCTAGAGTTTGATGTTTTGCTACTACAATCTAATCTCGCTTTCCACGGCGTTTTTTGGAGGCACCTCCAGCAGCACCTCCAACTGCGGGTGCTGCCGTCGGTGGAGGACCCCCTACTTGTTGTTGCTGTCCTCCTCCCGGTTGACCTTCTTCCGGAGGAGGCTCGGCTCCAATAAAGTTGGCCAAAAAGAGTGGCAGTAAAATATACCAATATCGCTTGGCAAAACCAAAGGGTGTATTGTCCACGGGTTGCTGTCCAGGCCCGCCACCCTCTTTTTCCTTGTCGCCACCAGGCGGTCCCTGAGCACTGTATAGCTTGCCGTTGGTCCCCATACGAGGCAACCATCTCAAACCAGGAGGAGGGCGGTACTGAGGCATGACGGGACGTAATACCATTCCCGGGGTTGCCGTTTCCCACGATATGCGGGAATCCCAGCCTTCGGGCAAATTGGATTTTCTCTCATCCCAAATGGCATGGTCGCACGATTTGGGCGCCAATGGACTGACCAAGGGAATATAAGTCAAACTAATGGCAGATGCCTTGGGGCCCAGTGTAAGTACAATCTCTTCTCTGACCGCCAGACAACAGCAAAAAAAGCAGAAAAAGGGCAACACACAATGAGAACGGAAAGATGGACAATAATAGGTCGAGAGAATCGAATCAGAATAAAGAATGGCAAATTCCGTTCAATTTGTTTTCATTCTTCCACTCCACTACCCACCTAAAATTGGCTCGCAATAACTGACATCCTGGCACACTGGAAAGAATAAAATCACTGCCGTCACTTCCCTCTTCGACTAGCTTGAGCTGGTACATGGATCCAGCGGCCTTGTTGGCCAAGAATGTTTGTTCATTCAACGTCGAGTTGTCATTGCTAATGGAAATATCCACGGATCCTTCCGCTTCTGGATCCAACGAGAGGACAATGGATGCTCGACGGGCAAACTCTTGGCCTCCATTGGAGGAGTGATGCAACGTCCACGACTTTTCCAGTGTGGCAGCAGCCACGGCTTGGACCGTCAATAAGAGCGCCAATGAACTCATCCGCAAGAACCCATTGTGGCACCGGGCAGAGGATGGCATAGTAATGTTGTGCTGTATCAGGATCGACGATGGTTTGGGTAGTCTAACTAGAGCTGCTGAGGTCAAGTGTCCAGCATTGATTGCTATGATTGTGTGCGGCAGGTTGTTGCCGTTGCCCAGCACGTCCTTGGAAGTTGTTGGGGGATTCAGGACTCAAAAACGTGACTAAAATCCTTCTCTATTGTTTCATTCCCCACGCAGCTTCATCATCGTACTGTATTTAAAATTAATAATACCTGCGACTGAATTTTGGAAACGTTTGGAGTTTGGAGCCAAAGGACATGTATGTAATGTATCCATCTCTAGCTAAGCTACCGGTACCATACATGTATGTGTATCACTAAATTCTTTACAAGTAGCCATGCATCACCATGCAAATGGATACCATTGTCAACTCTAAAAAGAAAAAACATGCAATCACGTTCACTATCCTCGATCAATGAAATTATTCAGAAATCATTGAGAGGTTCCGAAGCATGCATACCAGCACCAGAAGTATTAGGAATTGAATCCTCTGCATTTTGCGGTTTGGATTGTCGTGTAATGCACATCAAATGCTCTAAGGAGGATTGCGCTTGTCTGGAATAAAGGAGCCACCGAGAGACGACTGAAGCGATGCCACGGTACTGGGATCGTGATTGACAAAAAGCGCATTGGCACCGACGGTGCTCAGGGTATCGAAATACTGGGACAATAGCAAAATATCCATGACATCTTTGGGACGGGTTCCCACTTCATTGGAGAATTCCGTGACGCTTTCCTGTAGACCCTGCACAATGGCCTTGCGCTGTCGGGCCACTCCCAGACCGCTCAAATACCGACTCTCGGCTTCAGCTTCGGCCTGCTTTGTGAGTTTGATTTTATCGGCTTCGGCCTTGTGGGCGGCTGCCTCCTTGAGTCGCTTGCTGGCATTGATTTCATTCATACTGGCCTTGACTTTGTAATCGGGGCTCATGTCCGTCACAAGCGTGTTGAGAATTTCGTATCCATAGTCTTTCATGACATCTTTGAGTTGGGCCAAGACAGCATCCGCAATTTCGGCCTTGCTGGCAAAGGCAGCGTCCAATTCCAATTTGGGCACCGTACTGCGCACCACATCAAAGACATAGGATTGGATCTGACCACGAGGATCTGTCAACCGATAGTACGCGGCGTAGGCGCCTTCTTCCAGCACACGATACTGGACTGCCACTTGGACCTGATTGACATCGTTTGTTTGTTGTGAGTAAGACATCGAGCAAGAGAGAGAAAGGCACGGCTTACAAGACTCACATGTACGAACACATTGTCCTTTGTCTTGGTCTCGCAAAGAACATCCAATTGTTGAATTCGCAAAGACAAGCGTCCCACGATGCTCTTCAGGGGCCAAAACACAAAGTGCAGCCCAGGTCCTGCAGATCATCAATACCCAAGAAACTGATGAGATCAACCAGAACTCCAACCTACGAGTGAACCCATTTCGTCTCGTCTTACCCAGCAGCTGCTCAAAATTACCCAGATCTTCCACTACAGCCACCTCCTTTGTGCGGACACACTGAAGGCATGGAACGCAACAGCAGCCATCATCCATGGTGAACGCTACAACAAATCAATCAAAGGATCTCCCAAAACAACAGAAACAAGAGCAACTACGACGGCGGAAGCGTGTGGAGTGTCTTCTTGCTTCTTGCCTTCTTGATTGACACGAGAGATGGAATCTTAGAAAGGCTGGCACAGACCGGGACTCCACTCAGACTCAATGTCAATCGGAAGCTTAGTAGCCTTGACACTATAAGAGCCCCGCAGCGGCGGCGACAGGATACTACCTACATGTAGTATCTCGGAGGCATTTCACCGTTTCCCTCGAGAGCTTCCATGAGAAACAACAGCAGTAGTCGCTCCAACTCGAAGTGGCGACAAACGTAAGGAGCGACCACAATGGCAACCGATCCCTCCGGGATCCCTGACCATGTACTGGGACCACCAGTCAAAGGCGATGATTGAAAACGACCCTTCTTCGGGTGACGATTCACAAGAGAATGCGATTTCCACCGAACCATCGGATTCTGCCTCGCCTGAAACCGCTGTCTTGGAAGCAGAGCCCAACCAAATGGCACCACAGTCCTCCTACGCCAGTACGGGAAAGGCAGAAAAAGCAGCATCATGTGAGGCTCCTTCGAATGGCAACAACGACCAATTTCCTTTTGATAGGAGTTTGTTGTCACTGTCCGTATTAGAATTACGAAGAGCCTGGCAGGTCAAGGCAGCGTTCCGGAGTTTCTGTGATCTCGATTTCGAAAGTGACTTCATGTTTGCACACCTTGCCATTGCTGCCAAGGGTGATTTGGAATGGGCCATCGATAGGGCTTACAAAATGCAACGAGTCCGCCGTGAATACAATGTTCTTGGAACGTACGAAGAAGGAGTCAAGGCAATCCGTGTCTTTTTGGATATTGCACCCAAAACTCTCATGTCATTCATGTACAATCCCCGCTCTGGGAGATCTGTGCTCGTCTTTGACAGTGCAGTGCCTCTGCAGGAACTTTGTCATCAAAAAAATATGGACATTACCATTCGCGGTTCTTTCTATCTATGTTATGCCACATTTCCTACCCTCCAATGTGTGCATGTTTTGGCAACACGCATTTATTTGAGATGGAAGGCTACAGTTGGGCACAGGGTGTGATGCAGGCCAAGCTTTTTGCCAAGGTCGCCAACGACTCACACGGGGCGTTTCCTTCTGTGATAAAAGAGACTCGCTTCTACAATACCTCCATGGTGTCGCAGATGGTTTTCAACATGGTGAATCGATTTATTCCACAAGAAGTGTCAGAGAGACAAAGATTGGGCTGCACATTTTCGGGAGGTAGACTGTCCAATTTCTACTTGGTGCCGACACCTGAAGATGCCTTCCAACGTACTTATCTCAACATCTGCAATGGCCTCAAGGTTAGGATGGAATGTGAGAAGGCATTCTCTTTGGATGATTTCAAACATCCACTTCCAGAGGGTACTGAAACTCTCGAGACTCCCCCATGATACCACGGAACCTAGTCCAGTAGCTCCTAGTCCTGAATTTCAACTCTTCTTTGCTGAAGACTGGCCCTGGCTGGCTTCCGTAGATAATCTAACTTCTCTAAACCCCCGTTATTAGTTCTTGAGAATCCAAGGGGCCAGTTTTAGTTTTTACTTTTACTGCGAGAGAAGCATGAAACTTTTCTTCTACAATCAAAAAAGGCACTACCTTGGTGGGAAACTTGTAGTGGTACAATGGTGGGATGAGAAGGCCAAAGGTAAATCTCGGCTTTGAAGCCCCGGTGCCCCCGGTACCCTGATTGGGCGAGGAACGGGAGAATACAATGAATGCAATGTTGCAACGTTGCAACTACATAGCTAGATAGATAGTCTAGCTAGCTGCTACTTCTAATTACATGTAGATACGCTCTACTTATTGAGAACTAGCATCCAAACCCCTACCATCACGTGAATTCTGCTCGTCGTTGTGTGTTCGGGCCTCACAGACGACCGGCGCGTCAAAGCGCAGCGCCTTGAACTTCATCATAGACCGTAGACAAAACCAATTGATGACTCGAACCTCCAACAAACATCACGTGAACGACAGCTTGTACCAATAGCCCCTATCTTAACCTGGGCTCCCCGCCACCTCGTCCGAAGAGGAACGTTCTTGGCCTCATGACGTGGCAGTGCAAAAACTGCCACAACACGTTCAACCCTTTCCTGTTGCGTACTTGCTTGGCTAAAGCTGGCTACGCGGCAGGAGACCGCCAGGTTGGCAGAAATGAACTCGTCTGGTTAGTTAGTAGCTAGCTAGCTGGCTATCTATCTAGCTACTAGAAAGTGGTCTGAGTACTGTATATCAGCAAATGAGGTAGAAGCAAGGAGATATCATGCTCAGCTCTTTGTGGTACAAATGGTGCTAAATTGACTAGTTTATAGCTGTCTGTCGGTCCCCTGCGCTTGCAGCAGCTCGTCTCGGTTATCTAGTTTTTATACGCTGCCTGGTTAGAGCCATTCTCGTTCGTCCCAAGAACACAACACATACTTCGATGGTTGACTCCGGCTTGTATTCCAGCTCGTCCAAGGATACAGTGATCAATTGAGCAAAACAGGAGTAGTGGTAGATGTAGCTGCCTGCCTGGCATGCAAGACAGTCATGCAATTTGCCTACGCCGGTTCGTGGTCTTTGGGAACAGCACCTCAGCCGGCAAACGAAAAAATAAAGTGCGAAGAATGTGCACTTCACTTCGTTACTTCACTTCGTTACTAGTGCACACTATCCCCGGATCATCCCAAAGGTACTGATTCTCCTCTGAATGTCTTCTTCCTTCGACTTGAGGTAGTCACACCATACGCCATAGTGCTCCTTTCGACAGTATTCCCATGGAGTGTGTCCCCTTACATCTTCCATGAGCAACATGTCAGGAGATACGTTGTTCACCAAGAGCTCCATGATGGTGGTATTGGGCTTGCTTGTCCAACAAGCATCATGCATTGGCGTCCTTCCAAAATCATCGCGTACATCCACATCTACACACGCCTCTTTGATCAGAAAGGTTGCCATCTCCACGTTCCCTCTCCGGCAAACCATGTGAACAAGGGACTCTCCAAAGCGATTGCATGCATTGAAAGACTTGCCGTCTCGTAGCATGGATCTCAGTGATTCAACGTCGTTGTGGCGAATGGCCTGAACTACGGTTAGATCGTATGCATCAGTAGCCTCTTTGCTGGGTCGCGTGAAAGATAAGCCATCCGGTGAACTTGATAGCACAACATTGCCATATTCATTACGGGCAAACATTGCTTTCAACAGGTCAACGGGACTTAGTACCTTTTCAGGCGGATTTTGCTGCTTGGCAGGTGGAGGCGTGCTCGCAACTTCGACTCGAGCTGGTGGTTTATCAACTACTTCAACAGTTGCCTTCACGTTGACCTGATTTTGGACGGGCTGCAACAAAGGCTCCGGTGCATACGGTGACGGAGCCGTCATGAAAGCATTGCTGCTGGAAGAGGGGATATTGGAGTACAACATGGTGGTAGGGATCGTCATGAGAGGTATTGTTCAACAAGACGAGATAGATCAGATGATGCAACCAAAAACGACGACAAAGGTTTGTGATAATGCTTTGTTGGTTCCAAGGTCTTCGTACAAGTCTATTAGAAGAATTTTGCCACCTCATTCTTATCTCAACTTTGGTTGCTTGCGTGGTTCTACGCCAACAGCAAACTGCTTGTCGCTTGCACAGCTCTTGCAGTCTGGTGGCAGTTGTTGCAGCTCTTGTGAATTGTATGGTGGGGTAGATTTACGGCAGCTGTAAGCACTGTGACCGAAACTCATGATGTCATCTTGGATGTGCCAGCACAACGGTTAAACAGTTACAGTGGGTTTGAGAACTTTTGAAAAGGCTTCTCAAGGAGATTACTCCGAAACATTCTGTTCAAGGAGAACATAAGTAATAACGTCTTAGTTCGGAAAGCGAAGACAATTTGCTTGCTTTTGGCTTCATTACGTGTCAAGTGCAAGGCATGACGTAGCCTTTCCTAGTGCATCATCAGACCAGCTTGGAAATTTATCACGTCGAAAGCTGAGGGGCGGGGGTGAAAAATAGGGGACAGAGAAGATAGAAGGATCCCACATCGCACAGGAGAGCCTTGTGTAGCTTCAATGTCGCCAGGAAACAGCTCAGCATTGCATGCTGGAGTCGAGTCTACATGTATGATACGTATAATTGTATCGTTCGCTACGGCGCTGGTTGGTGTGAATCATCTGCAGACACAACCTCGTGATGTCTCCTCGTCCAAAACTCTTGTACTGAGAATCTTGATTCGCAACTGAATCTTCTGCCTCCCGCCGTGAAGAGCCATGCATGTTCCTCAGCTTTGTTCAATTGGTAGCTGTAGTAGCCAATCACATTAAGCTTTGGAGTGGCTTCAAGTCGGAGGGTATACTGTGCACCTGGAAAACTACTGCCGTCGTGATCTTGATCGGTTGTCAGAGCAATGAAAAGCCCTCGCAACATTTGGTGAAGATGGGATCAAATCATGGTTCTGTCTGGACTGAGGACGACCCTACCGGTACGAGTATGGTACTTGCTCGGAAAGCTTAGGTGTGGTGCCGGTACCCGTTCCTGGACTCCCCTCCTACGGTACCTCTTCAAATTACAGCCTTGCTGGCTTTACTCCTTCCAGAAGTCGCCGTTGACACCTTCGCCTTTCTATCACCATCAACGTCTCTCTCATTTCTCTTCTTTTTCCTCCTCACGGGAGAGTAAAGCCGTAGCTAGCTCGCTAGCTAGCCAGAGTTGCACAGTACCATTGCATCGATTGAGGTTTCTTCCGTTTTCGTCTAGCTAGCTAGGGCACCATGAACTCTGAGGGCGTCCTCTCGGTGGAAGAGCTGTCAGAGCCACAGCTTCGACGCCTCGTGGCGATTCTGCAAATATCTCATCCAGACGCTATCGCCTCTGCGATGCTGTTGTTGGACGCCAGCAGCCCCAAAGAAGGCAACAGTGCAGCTGAAGAGAAAAAAGAAAATTCTTTTGATGCTACCAGTGAGTCGTCTTTGGAGAAACAAGAAACATTGAACTCAGAAGGTGCCAGTCCCACCAAAGGAGATCCCGACTCCAAATTGAACAAGGAGGGTGAAACAGCACCAGAGATTGGCAGCTTTGAAAAAAACGCAGTGGACAGGTCGTCTGTAGAATTCACAGAGAGCGCTTCGCAGGAAGGGTTCGAAATCACCGAAACGAAGCAGCCAGAACAAGGAACTCTCGGTGGTTCTACCAAGGCAAAAGTCGTACCTCCCGATGATGGAGCATGTGCTGCTCCAGTAGATCCAACAACAAAGCCATCGGATAAAGTTGAAAATCCACCAGCTGTCTCTGATGACGAAACTGCTGAATCAAAAGTCGAAGATGATCCCAAAAAGTCCGATCCAGCTGATGTTCCGAAACTTGAGATAGATGAGGCTGAGACTGAAACTGAAAAACAATCTGCTTCTGTTGATCCGGAGACGGCAGTGACTTCCGTGGTTGAAGAGTCTTCAAGAGCTGACGCAGAGAGCAAAATATCAGGTGATGATACAGAGCTGCCAGGAAGTGAACCAGAGGGGCAGTCTACTGCTGAAAATCCCGATTCGAGGGGTCCGCCCACCGTTGATATCGAAGCTTCCACCACTGCATTAGAAAACCAATCCGCTCCTGTTGACACCAAACCAACAAGTGCCGAACAGGAGATACAACCGACCAGTTTGGATCCAGTGTCATCGAGCACTACAGCAGAGGAACAGTCAACTACGGGAGACCTAGCACCGTCATCGCAGCCGTCAGCCGACGTTGCTGCACCTTCAGAAGAACCTGCATCGGTTTCTGAAGCAGTTGCACCGGCCTCTGGGGAATCTAAGAAAAAGAAGAAGCGACCACCTGGGAAGAAGAGACCACCACAGCCGAAGCGAGATACTCCCGAAGCAACCCCCAAACAAACCGACAACGCTATGGAGGAAGAAACACCAGAAGAGGCTGCTGCTGCAATTTCTGTCGTGGAGACAAAGAAAGAACCAGAAGAATCTACATCCATGGAAGTTGAGACTGCTGAAAGCCCTCCAGTGGAGACGAAGAAAGAACCGGAGGAATCTAAGGCCGCAGAAGTTGAGACTGCTGAAAGTTCTACGGTGGTTGCAAGGAAAGAGTTGGAGGAATCTACAGCAGTGGAAGTGGAGGCTACTGAAAGACCATTGGAATCTAAGGCCGCAGCAGTGGAGACTGCTGAAAGTCCCCCAGTGGAGACAAAGAAAGGCCCCGAGGATTCCAAATCCACGGAGCTTGAGATTGCGACAACTCATCCAGTGGACACAAAGAAAGACCCCGAGGATTCCAAAACCACCGAGCTTGAGACTGCGGCAACTCCTCCAGTGGAGACAAAAGAGCCGGAGGAATTTAATGCAGTGGAAGTGGAGGCTGCTGAAAGTCCTCCAGTGGAGACAAAGAAAGACCCCGAGGATTCCAAATCCATGGAGCTTGACATTGCGACAACTCCTGCAGTGGAGACAAAAGAGCCGGAGGAATCTAAAGCAGTGGAAGTCGAGATTGCTGAAGGTCCTCCAGTGGTCACAAAGAATGAACCAGAGGAATCTAAAGCAGTGGAAGTGGAGGCTGCTGAAAGTCCTGCAGTGGAGAAAAAGAAAGAACCCGAGGATTCCAAATCCACGGAGCTTGAGATTGTGACAACTCCTTCAGTAGACACAAAGAAAGAACCGGAGGAATCTAAAGCAGTGGAAGTGGAGGCTGCTGAAAGTCCTCCAGTGGAGACAAAGAAAGACCCCGAGGATTCCAAATCCACCGAGCTTGAGATTGCGGCAACTCCTCCAGTGGAGACAAAGAAAGAAACCGAGGAATCTAAAGCAGTGGAAGTGGAGGCTGTGGCAAGTCCTCCAGTTGAGATAAAGAAAGAACCCGAGGATTCCAAATCCACAGAGCTTGAGATTGCGACTGCTCATACAGTGGAGTCAAAGAAAGACCCCGACGATTCTAGAGCCACGGAAGTTGTCCCAAATAAAGTTTTCCGCGTGGCCCCTGATCCGCCGGATTGTACACGCCCGGAGCCTCGACGGGAACTGCAGGAATCAGTTCCAAGGAGAACATCTTCGTTCGATCCTCCCGATCACAATGAGGTCAGGGCCATGAAAAAGGCGTATGAGTCAATCCCAGCAGCAGAATCAGTATCGGATACAATTGCTGAAAGTGCGGTTACCGAGGCAGAATCTCCTCCTCCTTCAAGGACGAATGATCCCGAGTATGACGCTGAACCGACACCGCCTTCCCAGACAGAACAGCCGTTCCAGGCGGAACAACCAGAAGCAACACCATCTGATGAAACAACTGACGAAAAGCCGAGAAAGAGACCTCCTGGCAAAAAGAGGCCACCAGGCAAAAGGCGGGATGAACACAGCGAAGCCGAGGCGCAAACAAGCTCGCCATCTAGCAACAATGAACCAACGAATACTGACGACGACAATCAACGGAATGACGGCAACAATGCTGAAGCGATTAGCCCATCTGGTCACACGGATCCACCTCCTGGAAACAGAAATGACAACGCACAGGCACGAGGCAGTATAGCACACGAAGTAATCGCTTGGCAGTCGGATATCAAGGACGTTGAAACAGACGATTCGCACTTCTTCGACGGCTATGCTTCGACCACTCGTCACGAAGATGTCTCAGCTGACGCATCGTCCGAAGCCGGGTGCTATTTAGTGTTTGATTCGGAGGGAGGGGGCAAACTGGTACTTTACTACAGTAAGACAAGGATTGCCCATGCTATTGGCTTCTACGCTCCAGGGCCGGGATACGTTATTCAGGGATTTAAATTCGCAAAAAACCATGGCAAGGTTGAATTGATAAAGAACTGTGCCTCAGGGCTAACTGGGAGAAAGAACTACTACTCAGGATGGTGTCAGTATCTGCGGTCGGCCAAGGACTTGAATGCGACCGTGTGGATCTATCCCCCAGTGGAAGGGAAGGTACGTGAAGGCGGAAGTCGCCCGTGTTTGGCATTGTGGTGTCGGCCTAATGCAACGATTGAATCATTCGTCTTCTCCTCACCCACAGGGTCTGGCAGTTGACATCTATGTGTTCTTGAGGGCGTCATTGCCGATATCATCAGTCCTTTTACCCGAGAATACCCCTTGCTGCATTTCCGAGGTGGAAGCTGTCGCATGCTTGCCAAAACATGCCCAATTCATTGCCAACGTACGTGTCGCATTGAGCAAATGGATGGAGATGGCCAACGCGGTCGGTACAACAATCCAAATATCTGATGGCAAAAAGCCAATTCCCAGCACGGAAGGACTCTTCATTCCAGGCACATCTCAGTCTCCCAAACACGACGTGCCACCCTTGTCCTCGAATACACAAGAGACAATGGAGAATGCGGGGTGCTATCTGGTTTTCGATTCAGAAGGAGGTGGCAAACTGATTCAGCATTACAGCAAGACACCGGTTCCTGAGGCCATTGGATTCTTTGCACCTGGGCCTGGCCAACGCATCCCTGGTTTCAAGTTCAAAAGCAACCAAGGACGCGCGGAATTGATTGGGAATTGTTCTGGAGGAGTGGTTGGACGCAAAAATTACTATAGCGGGTGGTGCCAATTTGTTCGAGCAGGTGAGTATATTATCACTACTCACTACGCAACGGCGTCATGATGGCAGCATGCTGCTCACAAATCGTTTTCCTGATCAATTTGTTCGCAGCGAAATCAATGCAAGGGTCATTGCGGCTTTTTTCGAGACCAGTAGGCCAGTCCGGATTAGACGTGGACATCTATTCCTACACTAACAACCCTCCAGCAGGGGAACACCAAACAGGTGAGTTTATCAGGCTCTACGCAACTGCGTCATGATGGCAGATGGCAGCACGCCGCTCACAAATCGTTTTCCTGATCTCTCAGTCAAGATGCAAGAGAACATCATATACAATATCAACAATATCAATGCAGTGGCATGTCTCCCGAAGCACGCCGAGTTCTTTGAAGGGCTCACAATGGACCCGACGCGATGGGTTGAGGAAGGAAGCAAAGTCGGTGCTACTATTCAATTGTAGAGCGCCCAAAAGACACGTCCGGTAGTGATGCAACCGCCAACCTCCTTACCACTCCCACTCTCTTCAACACGAGCAACGACCTGTGGTGCGGCAGAGCCCAGCGTACAACCCGTAGACAGCTAAAAAGCAACGCGTGCAGAACGCAGAACGAACAGGAGGGATTCAATCCAAGCAAACTACAGTACACGCCAAACGGAGCTAGAGAAATTTGCAGGCTAAACTAATAAAGAATTGCAGCTATCCTAGATTGGCCAAGACTTGGTTCGCCCGTTCTTGACATGCTTCAGGAAAACGCGAGCCAGCTTGCTGCACCAGAGTCTTCACCTCTTGCTCATTGCTCTTGATGATGTCTACGTTGTCGGCTGACAACAAGAAATTCCTCAGCGCCACACAAGCATGCTCTTGGAGCCTTTCAGATACTGGAAATCTTCGCATTGCTGATATAATTGCATTGACCTCACCATCACTGGCAATCATGACTTCATTGGTTTGTGCGTCAACTGCCAAACTTGACAAGGCTCGACACGCTTCAACTTGTATCTCCTCTGCAGCAAAGTGGGCCCACATAGCATACACAATGGAATCCACCCCACCAACATTCTGGATCAAACCTTTGTTTCTGGAGTCAGACGATAGCGTACAAAGACAGCCACAACCTTGCTTTTGCACACCTTCGTATGTGATGGCCGTCATCATTCCATTCACAACAAGGTTGATGCCGTCTGCCTCGGCAATGAGGCTTTGGTTTTGATCCAGCACTGCGAGACTCCACAGTGTGGTGAAGGCGCGCTCAAGCACAGTGGGCGAACCCATGAACTCTCTGATGCAATCCGTGACAGCAACAATGCCGCCCACTTCTGCGATGGTTTGCTTTGACTCGAAACACCTCATTGAAATGTTTTGGAGCACTCCCATGCCAAACTCTTGAATCTGTGATACTGCGCGGTGATGTCTCATTACAGACACCACGACAGCCACAATGTTGGACTCGATCAGAAGCTCCACATCAGCATCAGCCGACAAACTGAGCACCGCAGACAACGCACCCTCCAGCAGATCCAACTTGTCCATATTGGCTCTCATGGTGTTCCCCAGCAACATCAGTCCACCGAGCGATGCGATTAGCATTCTTGATTCTTCATCGATGCTCAGATGGGACAGAGCTTTGCACGCCTGACTCTGAACCACACCGTCGTCACAGAAAAGAGCAAGAGCGTTAACAATCATATCGATTCCGTCGGTCTGGACGATGCTCAAATTGACTTGCAAATTCTCCGTCGACGCAAGTACCGCGAGAATGGCGCACCCAAATTGCTGCACCTCCAAGCACTGCTCAAACTCTGCCATAGTGTCGATAACAACGACAATGACACCGCATTGGATTAGGACTGCGTCGCTCACGTAGGAGAGATTGTAAATGGAATCAAGAATCCTGACGTAAAGTTCTGTTCTGTCTGCCTCGAAATCAAGGGCGGTGTAAGGGACGGAAATGATCTCGTCAACATCCTCGCTCGAAACATGAACAGGGTTGTGTATCATGCAAGCAGTCACGCTAGCGAGTGCTCCGGCCGCCATCGCCAGGAGATCGTAGTCGAACGGGCCCTGGTCGCCCTTGTACTTGATGAGAATATTGATCATACACCGCGACATTTCAGAAAGAGAGTTTCCGTCTTGCTTGAGATACTTCGCCGTCAAAGACCACAGCACGCTGCACGCCTGGCTCTTGAGCGTCTCTTGGGTGCCGTGGCTATCAACCAGCGAGATCATGCAGTCTACCAATCCGTTGACATCCGGTGGGGAGGCCGCGGAAGCCAAAAGGTTTCGAAGCAGCGCACAACACGTCCATTGGATATCCCTGCTGCCCGTTGTTTTGATGACGCGTAAGACCACCTGCACAATATCCTCTGGCATCCTCGTTGATTTGTGGTTGCCACTGATCACCAGTGTAGCAAGCAGCTCTAAATAGCACTTGGTCATGCCCTGATCATCTGGATCTCGAAGCTTTTGAAGCACCGAGGCAATCATGTCAGGGCTCGCCATGCGCGATCTAGCTCTGTCGTTTTTAGCAGCAACCGAGGCAATCACACCACAAAGAGTTGGGGTCAAGTCTGAAGAAGACTGCAAAACTTGCTGCAAGTGGGTCAAATCGAACGCATCTACGACAACGTCGACCTGATCGGGGAATGCAAGGCAGAAGTTCGACACCGCCCGATCTGCTTCTCTCAAAATCAGTCCGTCCTCTTCCGTCAATAATGCCCGAACAATGGATACAATGGGGATGTCTGCCCCGTTTGTTCCATGGATCAAGCACATGTTTCCGTAGAATCCACACACCGGCAGCAGTAGGTCTGGGAATGTTTGCACCTGAGACTCCATCGATTCACAGAGCGTCTGTGCGGCCTTTACCAGGAAAATATCGTCCCTGTCTCTGTCACTCGCGGACATGGACCAGAAAGCCCAGATACCTGTTTGCGTCAACATGAGATTATCCGGGGACTTTTCAATGGCCTCCAGAACAGCATGTACGCCATTCGCTTCGGCTACCAACATCCTCGAATAATCCGTTCCATTCATGAGCGTAGCAATAACTCTGCAGCACGACTCTTGCTTGACCTTGTGCTTGATACTGTCTTCTGCATTGTCTTCCTTTAGGGATCTTGCAATGGTTGCTAAGCAATCCGAAGCGTCTCGAAAGGCCGCGTCAGATCTGTCCGAAACAAGGATGTTGCACATGATTTCGGCAGACAACCGAAAAAGATCTGTTTCCGAGTCCGTCGATCGATGTCGTAGCACCTTGACCGCCGCCTTGATGAACCCGTCATCCTTCATCTTCTTTAGCACTCTAGCGTTGGCTGCGTCATCTTCCTGATCCTGCAAACTCCACAAGAGCCGCATCGCCCAACGCTGCGCCGTGGCCTCTGACGAGTGCAGCTTCATCGCCCCGACCATTGCCGCAATTCCTTTGGTTTCTTCGATCGAAACAATATTCTTAGCGATAAGGTCTCCAATGTCGTCTTCGTCTGGTTTCTGATAGCAAAGGTTGTGTAACGCTCTGGCTGCCCATTCAAAGACTCCAGGAGAGTCTTGGTGTCGATTCAATGCATCTACAACAGCTTCAATCCCTCCAATCTTGGCGACGTACGCCTTGACTTCTTGTGCATCAGCCAAACTGGCGAGACATCCTACAGCCCACTGGATGAATTCTGGATCTTCCATATTTTGATCCTTCCTCAAAGCATCGACGATGGATTCAATGGCCCCGTTTTCGGCTGCCTCAATTTTCCGATTCTCCTGTCCCGCTGCCAACCGCCACAAGGCACCGCACGCCATGGCCATGATGCGCGGTTCGTTCAAGTACTGGTCCATGAGATCTCTTATTTCCGACATTGCCCCGCGCGGATCTCGATCAAATCCAAAGTTCCGCAATCGATGCAATGTTTGTTTGAGTAATTCAGGATCTCCTCGATCATCTTTGATTGTTTGTAGCAGGGAATCTATATCAACTTCGTCAGGAGAATTGACACTGCCCGTATAGTCCTCGATGATTGCCCGTGACGGCCGTTGTCCCGCGCCTGCCGACATGTCATCCATCGAAGAGAAGGACTCGTTATAATTGGATTTGACATTATCGTTGTTGTTGTTGTTGCTGTTGTTGAGAGGAGGAGCTGATATTCCGCCTCGACTAGATTTCTTTTGTTGCGTATATCCCATTTTCTTGGACGACGCCGCTTTGACCGGACTGCTGAATGATTGTTGTTGGCTAGGCGGCACCTCATTATTGAGTCTCTTGCTCTTATTGGCTGCCAGAGAGGACGACGATGCAGCTTCTCGCATGTCAGGAGGAACAGCGGAAGAATTGGAGCTCCTCACATCTGAAGGCGGAGCCGTCGGCGGTTGACGAATATTCTTCTTGGCCCGATTGGCCGCCGACTGATTGGGTTGGGTGGGTCTGGATACACGCGCCACCACAGGAGCATTCACTCGCGGGTTGCGATGTTCGTATGCTTGCAAGACAGCGGCCGGTACGGATGTTGGATTGCATTTGATACAAATTCCCTTGTGGATGTGGTCGTTTGTGAGGGGAGCCTTTTTGAAGACGGAAATCGTATGCGTCTTGAGTCCACACACCACACACAGTCCTTTGCGCTTGGCTATGGCTGTTCGCTCTTCTTGTGTCAACGCTGTTCCATTCTTGGCAAAGTGGGGAATCACATCGTTGTTGCCAAATCGATCCGGGAAGCCTGGACCATTCATGATGCTTGCTTTCTTCTTGTTGTTTGGGTTCTGAGGAATGTCGTACTGGATATATGGATGATTGGCGCGAGCTGCGGCTCTTCAACTCTCTGCGGTCTGGTCTGTCTCGTTGCTATTGAGCCAAGTCCTTCGTCCAATAGATAGAAGATTGTTGACTCTCTTTCTCAGTACCTGCCTATGGTTGTCTGATGGGAAAAACTATCTGTCGTGCTTTGGAAAACCGATCTGAATCGAAGCGCTGCGTACAACAACAACAACAAGAGAGATCGTCTACCGTGCGCATGCGCGAAAGAGAGAGACCGAATCACGAGATTTCCAACTTGTTGATAGCGTTGTTGCTCAGGAAACAACACAACAAGTCAGACCCTCGATTGGTTGGATTACAACACAACACGGAATGGCTTTATCAGTGGTTGGTGGTCTTTTCCAGAGGGCATCGATCCTTTTTTGCTGTGGTCATGCGGCACACCCCACCTGTGTGTCCGCAGAGCTGAGAGCATCAGACGTGGGAATGAGTGACTCAAACGCGACTGTCCTACAAGTTACGTACTGTCCAAGCTCAAACTGGACGCAAACTTGTTCCTACATCATCAGAGCCAAAGGCCACAGTTCAGACATAGATCTACATGAACTAGCTCGTAAACTTGCCTCGTTTGAAGTGTTCGGGGCCAGAGTTGGAGATGTTGGGCGAGGTGCTGATTGTCCTGGCAAGCACAAGCAAATAGCCCTATAGTCTGGTATAGGTCTTGGAGAACAGGAGGTCAAGATGCAGGTCTAGAGTAGGCTAAAAATTTGACCAGGCAAGGTCCGTGGGAAGCAAGGTCCAAGCTTTGGGTTGTCTTGGTGGACCGGTGTTGGTTGCCCAATGGTTACTTACTCGTAAGCCATTGACCTGAATACGTTGTATCTTTGCTGGCATCTTGAAGGGGTTTCTCACATCCATTGGTGGCTCCAAATCTGCCGGACGTCGTTTGCAGTAAGAACCTAAGGACCAAGTTGCATTCTTTGAATGTTGTTACGTACATAGCAACTGTGGAGAACCAAGCCTCGACAGAAGACCTCCATAACAGCATCTGTTTACCTCTGGTTTGGAGGCATGGGTCGACGTAAGATAGATTGTTCGCAGGCGGAGCAAGAGAACGTCACCAGTGGGGCGTAGTTGTCACTTTCCTGTTTTCTTTGCAATCAATCATAAGAACTAATTCACTCTAGCATGCTTTGACAGTGACGAGGAGCCGTAACGGTGCGAAAGCAGCCAGGGCTCCAAGTCACACTGGAACTGCTGCAAGAGAAGAGGGAACCACGCACGAACATGGGGCCAAACAGCTATACCGGTACCATACCCATACTTCCCAAGACACCGTGGTATCCAGATGTTGAATCCAGAGTAATTAGACCACTATGGCTGTTAGAGACTAGTGTTCTTGGATCCATTGTTCCTGGATAGTAGATCATATCCCAAAACTTGCCCAAAAACTACTACTACTAGCTAATTGCCACAATTGGTGCAAACAGGATTTGATGTGCCATGTTAGCACTTTGTTCCAAGTACCAACAAGCGCCAATCCAAGCGAGTTGTAATACACACATGTAGAAACCAAACTCTCCTTGCTTTTTGAGATGATGGAGGATGGCAAAACTCGTTGCCGTGGCCACATATCGAAGATAGGCTGATCTTGAAGGAGGAATGTTCCGCCACCAAACTAGAGCAATATGAAGAATATAGGGCAGGACCACATTGAAAGAGGCAATGGAGGCTGTCAAAAAGATGCCCATTGGAATTCCCACCGCCACGAGTGGCAATGCCATGTGGATTTTGTTGAGGGCTCGCATGGTGTTGTCCAGAGCCATTAAAGCGAGACTACTTGCTGGTTTTTGTTGTTTTTGTTGTTGTTGTGTTGCTGCTGACGATGATTCAAATGTATTTCGAACACTTTTAATGGCAAAGAAAGTGCCTCGATGGAGGGCAATGTATAGAAACGCCATGAGTGGATTGGTCTTTTTAGGAAGCACATGAATTCCCGCCTTGATCATGATGCGTGGCTCTCTGCTGGTACAAGATGGATTTTCCTCGCTTGTCTTCGATGCAACACCCATGTCGGCATAATGCAGCTCTCGATTGAAATCGATCACAATAGCTGTTCCTTGATGAGTGGTAAAGTTGCGTTGACTGGTGAGAGCCACGAGGGTTGCTGGATTGGTTGTCTCTTTGAGGTAGGTCAAAGAACGCACCGTCGAGAAGGGGAACATCACTTTGATTACACCATCATAGTGAATTTTCTTCGGGTCGACCAAGTCAAACTCGGGGCGCATCCAATAGATTTCGTGAAAGGAGTCGAAATAGACTTTATGGTTGGGAAAGTGTTGTCGAATGATTCGACGGTTCCACACAAACTTAGAAATCTCCTTTTGAAGATCCAACGGAGCCATGCGAACAAAGGCATGATGAGATATTGGGGAAGAAGAGGATTCGTGGGGATAGTACTTCTCAATCAAACTGAGTGCTCGCTCCATGGAATCAATCTCCTCGGGATCGTCCAGGACCACTTGAAAGGCAGGCATGAAACCATTGGTGGTTGTGGCTTTTGCGGAAGCTTCTACCGAAACAAGAGCCACTGCTGCAGCTGCAACAGCTACCATCCAACGAGGACTTGACCATCTCCACATGCTCTTTGATCTCTTCGGGTTAAGCGGTGGGAAGGGTGGTGGGTTGTCTGGCGATTGTGGCATGGGAAGAAACAGCTCAACTGGCTTGCAAAGATCCCAAAGTTCAGGGTTCACACCTCTAATCGTCCCGCTGGAGGTTCATGCCGGTGGGTCTGGGCCAAGGTGCGCTTGCAGCATTGCAGCAAGAGCGGAGGAATGCTCTTAGTTAGCAAATGAAAGCAAAATGTTGCTTTCATTACCATACTATGGCTGCTGTGGTTTATGTAAGGTTTCATGCTGACAAAGCAATTGGTATGAACCTGTACTGCGTCATGGCCACTTGTATCCACTCTGAATGCCCTTTCATGTTTTGGTTCCTTCGAAGCTTGCACGCAGTGTACCTACAGGTAGCCAACATCCCTACCCATACGATCAGCGCTCTAGGATGGTATCCATGTACCTGCTTACGATTACCCTCATCTCCGAGGTCAAAGTTATTCGTGCCACTGACGAACAGTTGATGGCCTGAAAATGGCTTGTACCTGGCGGAAGCAAAAAGAATGGGATTTCCAGTATGCGACGCCGAAGTAGGGGCTCAATGCCGACCACACTGTCCACGTCAAGACCAGCCGACGTATCCGAGCCAACATCCAACACTCGCAAAAACGCCAGTGGCCTCGGGATTCGTTTCCACCGAGCCCCTCGGTTGGCCCTATGCATACCGGAATGAAGCAATTCTCGAACTGGCAGTCTCTGTGAAGCTTCTCATTGGTAATACTAAAGTGACCCAGCAGGACGAGTATCATTGTTTTTGTGACAGCTAGCTAGGTAGCATCATCGTTGTGACGATTCGTCACACATGACAGGTCCATCTGGTCCTGACTTCCCTTTGGATCTTGTGGCGTCAGGGTGCAAACAGTAGCTTTTATAAGGATTTTCTGCTTACACCGTACCCTCTACTATTGGTTGCTACTGCTGTTCAAGTACAGTAGCAGTAATGTTGCCATAGCTCTTGCCAGTATCTCGGGCATTTACCGTACCTCAACTTGTAAAGCAAAGGGTTGGCCGATAGAAGCGCCGTTGCTTCTCTACTGGCAGAACTACATGTATCTAGCTAGCTAGGATAGGAACGAAATGTTGACTCAAATAGTAGAATTATTACAGTAACTTGGTTACGGGTGCCCCAACTCCAATTCATCACAGGTAACATAAGCGCATGGAAGCTCGGAAAACGGAGGTCTGATCACAGTGTGAAAGTTGCGGCGCCTACTTTCCAGCCTTCTTGGGTAGCAATACGGCATGGATGTTGGGAAGAACACCACCACTGGCAATCGTCACACCTCCAAGAAGCTTGTTCAACTCTTCATCGTTCTTGACAGCTAGAGTGATATGACGGGGCACAATGCGGCTCTTCTTGTTGTCGCGGGCAGCATTGCCAGCCAACTCCAAAATCTCAGCGCAGAGATATCTGCAATTTTGAAACAAAAACAAAAGGTTAGTGCCATGAAGGTTCGTTTGGGCTTATATATGACACGGCACTTTTGTCGACGGAACTTACTCAAGAACAGCAGCGAGGTACACAGGGGCTCCGGCACCCATACGAGTGGCATATTTGCCTTGACGGAGATAACGACCGATACGACCCACGGGAAACTGAAGTCCAGCCTTGGCACTAGCAGTGGTGCTCTTCTTCTCGCCGCGTCCTCCTTTTCCTTTTCCGCTCATGGTTGATATGGTTTGTTTTGTTGAAAGAGAGATGATCGAGACGAAGTGAATTTTGTGAGACGATTTGTGAGGCGAGAGAAGATAAAAACTGGAGGTGAAGGCTGGGCGCCGAAACGCAAGCGGGCCTGGCCATTCAAATTCAAACGATCGTGTTGGGGCTGGAGATTTCTGATTTGAACTGGTTCGGAACCCGAAGGTGGCGCGTTATCATGGAACACGCCGTGGAAGTGTTTGGGGACTCGTGTGTCAAGACTTGGTTTAAATTTTGAAAGACGCGCCCTCCCGTGTGGTTGGCTGTGCGCGGTGGAAAAGGAGGGAAGCATCCTCACATTTTGCATCATCGCCCTCAAAACTGCGTCCATCGTTTCTCTCACAAATCAGAAATCTGATCATCGCAATCGCTTCACTTTGCCCTTTCGTCGAACTCTTTCTTCCCGCAAACACTTCAATTTTCAACCATGGCTAAGACACCATCCAAGCAATCTGCCAAGACACCCAAGAAGGCTGCCGGAGGCTCCAAGAAGTCCAAGAAGCGTACCGAGACCTATTCCTCCTACATCTACAAGGTGTTGAAGCAGGTCCATCCTGACACTGGTATCTCCAAGAAGGGCATGTCCATCATGAACTCCTTCATCAATGATATCTTTGAGCGCATTGCCACTGAGGCTGGAAAGCTTGCCACCTACAACAAGAAGGCCACCTTGAGCAGCCGTGAAATCCAAACTGCTGTTCGTTTGATGCTTCCCGGAGAGTTGTAAGTGGACGATCGGAATGGTGTTGATTTGCTTGATCGGAACGGTGTCGATCTGCTGAATGATACCTCTAACATGAAACCTCTTCTTTGCTACAGGGCCAAGCACGCTGTCAGTGAGGGTACCAAGGCCGTCACCAAATTTTCTTCGGCCTAAGCTGACACCAAAACGCCGTCGAGAGACTAACAAACAACCAAACAGGAGATTATAATCTCCACCCACACATCAAAGACGCACCCTTGTTTCCTGTTGACTCTACCGTATGACAAAGACGCGTAAAATTGGATGACCTACTATAATAGTACTCTAACACTTTCGTTTTTTACAGGGCGAAGCATGGTAAGAACGAAGAGCCGTCCCTGCCATCATTTCCGATTAGAACTGGTTCCCACCAAACACACCCTTTCCCATCCTTACCCTAGACCTATTGCCGTTGGGATCATCAAACATACCATACTCCATGATGACACGAGACACAACCACACTGTAACCGCTAAACAAAGATTCTGAACAAAACGTAACTAGCTAGTAGCTCAAACCATTAGGACTGCCGTATGATATGATGGATTCCGTTTCTTTGGTAGTTTTAGAAACATCGATTTGTGAGACTTGTCTTGGCACAGAAAGAGGAAGGGGACAAGAGCTCTCTATGCTATTCGATGATAGTGTTCCTGGATTGTGCGGCTGCCGTACGTGGACTACGTTGCTTCTCTTCTTGAGGGTCAATGCGGCGCAAAAAGTTCCATTTTGTCCGTGCCAGATCCAGCCACCATCAATGCAGGTATCATATCACAGCAGCATGGCCAGGAGAGAAGCAACCTGGTGAATGAACCACTTACTTGTCCTGCCAAGTGCGTTTTCTTGCCGTTTGACAGTTCCTGGTAGTTTGCTCAACGGCCTCTCTGAACTGATAGTCCAACATCTCATATAGTCTATGTTTTATGTTCTATTGGTCCATGTGCAGGATTGTAGGCTTGCCGGACAACAACGGCATCGTCCAGCAAGCCACTAGCTAGTAGTGCAAAGAAGCTGTCACAGTGCCTGTATCTTGCTTCAATCTATTACCACGACTTTTCTTTTGCAGCACGTATTGGAGCTACCGATGGTTACCCGCTGCCACCACATCGTTGCTCGTGATTACCACCTCGTCCAAAGCTGCTCGTTCTTCAAAAACAAGCCCGACGAACCGTGCCAACTCTGTAGGCATCCAAGATGCATTTTCTTCCTGTTTGGACATTGTCGATGCTTCCATTGGTATCCCTATCCGTTCCATGTCATTCCGTCCCTGTTCTTGATGAAACATGAACCCCAAGTGTCCACCGTGGTCCGTTCGTTGCATCTTGATGGGGCTATTTTTATTGAAGTCACTGGATTTCTCCCATGGAAAGACACTGGGGTCAAAGAAGGGATCATCGGCGGCATTTATAATGAAGGTTGGTACCGTAATGTTGTCTAGAAACTGCAGGCAGCTGTTCTTGCGATAGTAGTCAATGTAGTCATCAAAGCCGTAGATTGGTGCCAGCACGGCGTTTTCCAAGTCCGCAATGGTTTCCGCGTCTATGATTTGTTGAAGGTCAATCTTCTTCCATTCATCACTCCCTTTAAAGAGTTCAAATTGCTGCAGACTCCGCGTTTTGATGGACTGGGCCAGCGTGCCTGTGTACACCAACCTGTTAAAGCCAGGGGCCTGCAAAAAGTCAACATTACGCTCCTGGTCAAAGGGTGCCCCGCAAACGGCAGCGCCATACACATTAAAGTCTCGATGTGCCGTTTCCCCCAGCTCACCCAGTGTTTTCAACACGACGTTGGCTCCCAGGGAGAATCCACTCAGGTACAACGGGAAATGCCCATTGTTACGTTCTCGCAAGTGTTGCAGGAACTGCTTAACGTCATTGGTAAATCCCAGGTGATATCCTCCCATCTTTCGATTCATTTCGCCGGAACAACCACGAAAATTCATGCAGGCAACATCCAAGCCTTGGTTCCAGTACGCTGTAGCCATGTCGACCGACAAGGTGGACTGAGAGTTGGACTGAAGACCATGTAGGAGTATCACCATGCCCTTGCTGGATGGCTTGTTGGATGCATGCTGGTAGCGGAAATCCACATCGAAAAAGTCTCCATCGGGAGTTTCGAATCGTTGTCGTTCGTCGTAGAATCCCTCGTGATCTGGATTCAACAAGAGATTCTTGATATTGTCTTTATCATCTTCATCGTTACCCGCAAACACTGACGACACTACCGAGTTGGTCACAGACCGTATCAATCCCATGGAATCTGATACGTACTTGTACTCTTGCAAGCTTCGCAAGTAGACTCCGCTGATGGTCTGAATGTGTCGATTGGTCAAGGCAGGATGGGGCTTGAAATCCCTCGTGACGAATTTGGAAGCAATCGAGTGAGAGACATCTCGGTACTTGCGTGTCGTTGGCGAATCTGAAACTTCGAATGATTCGCTACTTTCCAAGTTTTGGACAAGAGGGAGCCGCTGTGTTGGAATGGAGAATGCCCGGGTCAGCTCTTGCAACACCAGGAGTGATAGGGCAAGACACCACAAACAAGAGTGGTACCGTAGAGTTGTCGTCTTCATCTTTCTTTTTGCTTTCTCTGATGACCGAAAACAGAAAGAATCCTTTTTGGCGCTGGTATCTCTGAAGCTCCTGAGGTCGAAGAGACGATGAACGAACGATGAGGTGGCCAAATTCGGAGAGGTGGATGCAAACAAGCTTTGCTGCCGACACGTCACAGGCACAGGCACGACACACACGTCGAGGCCAAACCCATCATGTTGTTCGCGAACAGGCGTTGCTTCCAACATTCCTCCTCTTTGTCTCTCGTTCTTTCGACCTGCCCCTTCCTCCTGTTACTAGCAAGGGGATCCTCGTGTTATTTGATTGGAGGCATTGATAGCAGAGGACTATGATCATCCATCTGTGTCCAATGCCAAAGCATCATCTGAGAAGTTCTCTCTAGGTGAAACTGTTTTCAGTGAGGTCTGTTTCCGCTGCGTGTCCAGCAAATGCAGTAATGAGGTGGAAATGAGTTCATAGCTTCATATCCGGTTCTAACCGCAAAATGTTTCGTGCTAGCTATGTCATTTGGTTGTGTTCCAGTATTGCTTTGGACACCGAGATGCGAAGGATGCCCAAACGATGTACCGGTATTGTTCTGTGCTTTGGTAGGGCATGGAAGCCCAACTTTTCGATTACTAGTTTTTTCGCCGCAGAGATGCTTGCACCTCTACCGGTACCGTACCTCAAGTCTCAAGTAGCAATCGTGTCGAGAATAGCACCTCCAGCAGCACCGCACAGCAATCCTCATGCTTTTCAATCTCTTTGGGACGTTCCTCGAAAGTCAACAATTCTTTGCAACGTTCCTCAAGCCGAGGAAGGGGGAGGCGTGTGGCATTGGATCTGCTAAACGGAGTAGCAAACCAGCACTGTCTGTCGCATTCAAGAGATCGAGACTATGCCCTGTCTAGACACGAAGGAGTACACTGCAATCCATGTCGACTGACAACGGTACATTTTTAAGAAACTCTAGAAATTGGGACTACTCACCGCAAAGACGAGATAAGAAACTCTTGCGCTAAGAAGCAGCAGATTGGATTCTATGATCTGGCATTTCCCCATCCCCACAGCACTGTCTCAGTGGGATAAACTGTTGCCTCAAAACTGGGCCGGGCAAACACAGCATCCATGTATGCCCGGACCTTTGGAAATTGTTGTTGCAAATCAATGGATTTGTTTTTGAAACCTTCCAATCCAGTCTCCATGTGATAAAGCTTGGGTGCCAAAGAACAATCAATCAAGGTCATTTTGTCACCATTACCAACAAGGAAAGGACCAGTTCTTCCAGCACTGCTCAAATGTGTTTCCAAGCCGGTCAATTTTTCTTCCAATCCAGCTTTTAATGCCAAGTCATCGTCATCTCCATCTGGTGTGTGTTTCAGATATTTGGCAATTGCCGGGAAAATTCCATCGATTGCGGCTTCAGCTGCTTCCATGTCGGCTGTTGAACCCTTTAATTCTGGTTCGCGAAAGAAGAAATCCAAGTATTCGGCGATGACACTCGACTCGACATAGCATTCCTTTCGATGGCGCAAGGCTGGCATTTTGCCTTCATAGTGGTCCACTAACCATCTTGGTTTGGTTTCTTGAACACTGGGCAGCAAATCATACTCCAATCCCTTTTCTTCCAAGACCATGCGGACAAAATGAGCAAAAGGACAATCACCGACCGACGTTCCATCTGGGCCAGCTTTCAAATACAGGGACATGCCACCCTCTGGTTTGTGAAAGAAAGGATGGATCAATTTTATTAAAAGCCACCGAAAGCAAAATGTTAGAATTCCACCTCAAACGAAAGGCAAAGGGAGATACTGCAGCCAACCACAAAAGGTAGCTAAGAACCAAAACATTGCTCTCTTCTTTCTCTTGTACGGTATGATCTCACCTGATGGTGTGGCTCCATCTCGTCTCACTTCCAGACCACGATTCTGAACCATGAACAGGGCAGAGGCCGAAGATATCCTTGCATGATGTTCTGATGTTGATCCAACGAAGGATGCATGAAACCCACTTGCGGCTGGAAATTGGGCTACTGCAGCAAATAGCGTGCACAGTGCAATCCTTTGCAGCAGTGATTTCTTCATCGTGCTATTTCTTGGAATGATGGCTCCGATCTTTTGTGGCTTGACTGCTTGCTTGATGGAGATCTTTGCTTCGTCCTTGTCGGATTTGCTTGGCTTCGGTTGATTTTGGCGTCGCTGACGTCATTCGATCTTTGAAGCTCACACACCTTGCACTCGGGACTTGAATATTTAATCCCCAACCACCTGAATTAGGAGCCATCGCCACATCGCCAAAAAGGTACGGATATTGGAGAAGAATATCAGGGACCGTCAAAAACGATAGAAACTGGCAATATCGGTGGTAACAGTGGTGAAAGTAGCCAATTATGTATATTGTTGAGGTAATAATAGTAGCGCTAGCCAATTAATCAGGAAGGTGGGAGAAGACTAAAGTACAGTTGTATGATAAGCCCCGGTGGTGGTTCAGCTTGGTCCTGTTGCTTTGGTTTGATCTGGGCAGAGATGTCTCTTGCCGTTGTCAGCCACACCGACTTTCTTGCATTGACTTGACTGGTTGGTGGTGGTGGTGGTCATGCCACCAACTTCCAACAATTGGTACAGACTCGTACATGCATTTGGAAGGAAGATTCATTTTCACAGAAGACCGATTCGAAGCTAGCAACATGGTCACTCTCTACAACATGTACTGGTAGGGAAATGGCCAGCCTAAATCAATACTCATGCTACTTTTTCGACAAAAGGAGAAGCCTTGACCAGCGAATGCCTCTCAGTAAAATGCAATCCAGCATTCCCTTTCTGGCTAGAGATCGCAATGTAAAGAATCGTTTATTTCACCTCGGAAAAACCACCTGGCTTTGTCTTTCGTGCACCAGGTGTTGGCCAGTTTTCTGGCCATTTGTCTTGTCTGTCATCTTCAAACGCTCTCACGGGAAGTAGTGTGCCTGCCAAGGCTCTATCCGGAAACAAAACTCCGTCCAGGTGATCATATTCATGTTGTGCCACTCGAGCGGGAAGCCCATCCAATTCAGCCTCGATGGGTTCTCCATTTTCGTTCCATCCTTGCATGTGCACGGCGTTGGGGCGCTCCACCCATCCCCTCATTCCTGGTACGGAAAGACAGCCTTCCCAGAACCAACTCGTCCCCTGTTCCATATGTGGAGTGATGGAAGGATTGACCCAGAACTGATGAGGAAACGGCTTGGCATCTGGATATCGTGCTCTGGCTGCCTCATCATCCACATCAATTCCCATGCAAAAGATCCTTGTTCTCCATCCAACCTGACAGGCAGCAATGCCAATGCCTCCGTACGCCTTCTGGCAGGCCTTCAGCATACGCAGCTGCTCTTGAAGGTTTTCGTTGGGTGGCGAGGATATTTTTGCCACATCACACGGTTCGCAGGGGCTCAGCAACTCTCGATCTCCAATGAATACCAAGCCCGGAAGCTCCATTCCACCACCCCCACGGCTCGACAGGTTGCTAATCCGGGACGTAACGGGTGAGTGCTGGCTGCCCTGGCTGCCGCGGGCAAATGCGGATAAACGTTGTCAACAGACGATGCCTCATCGATGCTGTGCGGCAAAACGACTTCAAGAAATCGATTCTCTGGAGATTATCATTCCAAGCGAAGACTCACTCAACTCACTCTCTTCTCAGGAGGTTGTTGTCGGCGAGGGCGATGCCTCGATGCGACACCATTACAGGTGCCGTTACCAGGTACCAGTACATGTACTCATGTACTCCGACCGTGCGGGTGTTGTTGGGGTACATTGTATCTCGTAGCAATTAGCTTGCAGAGTTGCCACACATTCCGCAATCTATCCTAGGGTCCCTCTCGTGACTGACGCACACTCCACCTCATCGACCTTCATTCTTCAACCATGACGGCAAGAAAGCATCAGCAGCCGTCTCTCGGTCGGTTGCAGATTTCAGAGAAAGAGTTCGATCATCTGCAATTCGCGTGTGAGCTACCTGGTACCTTAAAAATCGCCTGAAGAGACTTGAGTGGAGACGCTTGCATGAGTTCCTGGTTCTGAATACATCCAACAACCTCATCAACGCAAGGCACAAAAAAGAATGACACTTTCGGATCAGCCCTGCAAAGTAATGAAACCATCACCAAGGTCAAGGCAGAGAACTGCTAGGAGAGCCATGTCGTCTACCCCATCGTTCATCCTCATGGTGACCGCCTTGATGCTGAACCAAGTAGCATCTGGGTTTCAACCCACATGTTCCAGATGGATGCCAAATCACCCACGCATACACCCATTATCCATGGTGGCAACCACCGAAGTCGTGGCATCAGGAGGATCCTCATCTGCCTTGGGGAGATGGGAGGAAGTGGAAGGAAACTTTGTCCTGAGGCCATCCGTAGAGGATGGTCCTCCCAGGGCACTTGGTACGTCCCGGTTTGCTCTGCTTTGGAACTGGTCAGTGGCTTTTTTGTCATGTTCATTCATTATAACTCATCTCCCCCTCTGCTCTCCTCAGTCCATTTCCTTGGTGGCGCCTTGGTTGGTGTAAGTGAAACAATTAATCTACCAAGTTGCCTTATCAATCGCTTTCAGCACTTAACCTCACCGCCGCATTTTCTTCGTCACTGCTGTCGTTCCGAAGGCGGCACCACATGTCACGTACCGATATCTTTTGGAGCGATTAGCGGAACAAGGATATCTCATTGTGGCAACACCCCATGATTTGTCCTTTGATCATTTGCAAACATGCGATACAATCATTGCACGCTTTGAACGGATAGCTCCCACGCTGGCTCGAACCTATGGGGCACTGCCAGTGGTGGGCATTGGACATTCTCTGGGATCTTTGCTACACCTACTCATTACCAGTCTATTTCCCGATACACCCCGAGCAGCCAATGCGCTCTTGAGTTTCAACAATAAACCAGTCCAAGAAGCTGTCCCACTTTTTGAAGAAGTAAGTGCTTGGATGGCTCCTCATTACCGGTACTGGTATTGATTGTCCTTGCAACACAACCAAATGGATCAAGGTTATCCGGTCAATTTACACTCAAACGTTGGTTATCGTCTTTCTTTACATTGTAAAACAGTTCTTTGCTCCCTTGTGCACAGTGATGGCGCAAAAGAATGGTACTGTGCCCAGCGGTGCCGAGGCTATCACCTTGGGATTGAGACTTGCCAAGACAGCCACAGAAGGTACGACACATCACAATCTGCTCTATAGTATCCATTCAGCAGCTACAGCATGATGGATATCTTGTCAGTTTGTGTTTATATGCCGCAACGCTCAATGATTTGGGTTGTTTCATCGCGCGCACTCTCAATGCCGACTCATCATGACCGGAACAGGGAAACTACCATCAGATGAGCTAGTGGGAGAAGTCCTCTCCTTTTTGCAACCAAGAGGTCCGTTCATGAAAAATTCCGAAACAGAACTACCCAAAATCACCATTCCAGCTGAGGCACGACAAGCCTTTGAAGCCATCTCGGGTCCATCCACTTCCACATTGAGGAATGCAGGTGTGCTACCCCTTATGACGAACTCTGTAGTGATCCTGGAGCAGATTCCTTTACTGATCGAAGAGGTAGGTTCATGTTCTGGTGATATCCGGTGATTGCAGTCGTTTCCAGTGCGGTATCTCACGTAAAGTTGCCGGTTGCCAAAAAGGTTGCCAACGGAGCAAGAGACTTTGTTCCCCCACCCGACTCGGTGCGAGAAGCCGTACGAAAAGCATACCGTGCACGGAGAACTTTGATTCTGGAATACACTGATGATTCTTTGGACGAATCCGATGAGATTGAGGACCTATTGAAGGAAGCAGAGCGAGTCATTCGGATGAAACGGCCTATGGTCAATATTGATCTGCAACGCAGAACACTAGAGGGCAACCATGCGACACCACTCCTAGCGCCGCCCATGGACTTGGCTGTTAGGGCAGAAGACGTGCTTGGTGCGGAAACCGCTAAGGACCGACTATTCTATGATCAGGCCGATCGGACCGTGGAAGAGTTGGTGGCATGGCTTGAAGAAGGCAACTTGTAAAAGAGGTCATGGAATGGCTGGCTAGCTGGAAGTTGGTGGATAAGGAGTCTACTAGGAATGTACAAAGATTGACAACCGCTGCAGGTGTAAGGGATTCCATTCTTTATCCATGAAGGCTTTGCGTTGCTCTTCTACTAGTATCTGGAGGGGCGGTGTAGGCGGGATAAATGTGTACTAGTAGAACTTCTGGAGGGCCGCCCGACGCCACCTGCCTCAGGATTGGTTGGTGCGACCGGTACCGTACAGTACAGTATTGGCAGGTGGGTAACACAGGATGTTGGCAAGGTTGGGTAACACAGGATGTCAAGAGCAGCGGGATGTGCAGTCCACGCACCGCCCACACTCAATTTATGTTTTGGAGGATACTACCATACTATCAATACCCTTCTTGTCATGCAGAGTACTGTACGTTCTACAACTTGCTTGATCATCTACGGAGGAGACCTACATAGCGCACAGGACAAAAGTGCAGAGGGGGCAGTACCGGTACCTAGTACATACATCTACGTGGTGTGCTCCATACCGGTAGGACACCGCCCCTCCTCTAAAGCTACCGTTGAATTGGAGAACAAGATGGAAGTCATCATTCCTGGAGTGCTCGAGGTGCAGCTAAAGCCAAAAGCAGCTCCAGTACCAGTAGCAGCTTTGGCTGCAAATGTTGCCATTCCATTTGTCCCTGAGAATGCCATGCCTGATAGTGAGGCTACAGCACAGATCCAGACTGCGATCCTGGCTTCTAGCTAGAGTGGAGATCACCCAAATCCCAAACCCCTTTCTCAATCGCAGACCATGCAGCTAGATCTAGCTAGATAGCTGCCACCGGTGGAGCTCTTCCAGTACTGTAAGGGTTCCCCACATAAGATTATTCTGGTTTTGGGCTAAGGTTTAAAAATTATTAGGGAGAGGAGGGAAATCGTTCCAGTCACTGTTCACAAAGTTTACAGAAACTTCAACCACAGCACTCGGCTCCCAAACTCCCAAACACAGCTCTCAAGCACGAGCCAGTCGCCGCAATTTCATGCTCAAACAGTCTCGTCATTTATTTTGAAACTCCCTGTCTTGAACGACCGACAGTTTTATTGATGATGCGGTAGTAATAATAGTAGTAGCAGGAGTGGTAGCCGATGCTGTTGTCGGCTCAGTGGTGCCCTTAGCTTTCAACGTGGGTTTAGTAGTTGTTTTCCTTAGTCGTGCGATGGATTGCTGGCCTTCCAAAAAGTTCTGAACCTCACTGACGCTCCTCGCAACTGCTTCACTAGCAGAGCAGTCCAAATAACACTTCGACCTTCGGCCTCACAGAAAAGAACAGAACAGAGTTGGCTGAAATTTTAAAATAGTATTATAGTTCATAGCTGTAGGACCATCGGAAGCCCAGCCGTCGGCGCCTACAAATGTAATTGATCGATTGACGAGTCGTGCTTTCGTTGGTAGTACCTCTCCTTTAGTATGGTACATTGCCGTACCTCTCGGGCTTATCTTTCTTCAATGTTGTCGTGTTGATTGAGGTCTGCCTTTAGAAGCAGGGATTGCTCCATGAACTCAAAGAGAGGGGAATGAAGCCAATGAGTGCAGCTCGGCCTCACGTTGATCAATCTCGTATTTAAAATGGCTTCAAGCTGAGCTTTGGGTCAAAGCTCTGACAACTCACGCACTGTGCTCTCACTTCTGCCACCAGCTGGCCCCTCTCCCTCTCTAGTATTAATATACTATTTTACCATAGAAAATTAAATGCCTTACCGTAACCTCCTCTATCCCTTATTGCAACACAAAGCTAGCCTCCTGAGACTGCCTCCAAGGAAGCTCAAGGAAGATAGCCGTTGACCATACTTTGTACCACGGTACCATCATTCATACCAGTACTGAGGAGCTATCAGTACCGTACTCCAGCAGCATCTGCATCAGTTGCACCGGTGTAGTCAGAGGTTGGCTAGGATTGTTACCGTGAGTACCTTGCCCTCCAACACACATAATGTGAGGGCTCACCCATCACAGATTTATTGTGGAGCATACCTTGATAACTCTATTGAAAGACACCAGCAAACAAGTGAGGAAGCTATTTTATTAAAAGTAAAATTTATTTCCCCAACCTTTGACTTAAAAATTACAGCAAAAAATTGGTTTTTACAGGGTGGGGGATCATTACAGTCTACTCGCGCTAATATTACTTATTTAATATTACTTCTCGCTGTTATATTACCTGATTCTTCGGATCCCCCCCCCAGTCCCGCATATCCGTGAATGACGAATGACGTCAGTACCCTCGCAAACGTTCATGTTGGTCTATGTCGGATTGGAGGGATTGGTTTGGTTTGCTTGCACTTGTTTGGTTGCTGAGAGATTGTTTTTGTCTCTCTCTGCATTCTGCGAATCTCGCGACACATGAAACCACGTCGAGATTGGCGGGATGGAGGAGAATCGGACAGCACGGGAGGTGCGGGGTCCGGTTGGCATCTTATTGGCACCTCATCGGCATGCGTTGGCATTTACATGTATGTATCTGTCGAGTTGGATGGTTTGCGATTGATTGCGAGCGATTGTTTTGTTGCTACGAGA